ACAGCAACCCTTTATACAATCTTAATTTTTAAGCACTGCTATCTGCATTTCCTTGCTGTGTTTATAGTGCTAATAGTTTTGTTGTAGTCTCAATGTACATTTTACAGTTTTAAACTTTCCAGATTGTTGTATCTTGGAAGCATAAACAATTATAGACATTTTATAAATAAATAAATAATGAAAAATACAGTCATTGTTACACATTTGATGGGGATGGGGACATAAGATCACCACAAAAGTGAAAAATCCCAAATTAAAAAATGATGTTTTTTCAGTAAAATATTTCTGGAAATTGCTAGGACTCTATGGTCAACTTGTGGTGGAGGTTGACCATAGACTTGCACTGGAGGAGCTAGAGGTGCTAGAGCAAACATATTACAGAAATCCATGCATAATCAAATCTGCAAAAGTCAAACTGGCAAATCAGAGGTCTAACTGTATTCTAACAATATACTGTTCTTCCTTGCTCTGAGGGACCCAGAAGACTTCTAACAACATGGCATGTAAGCAAGTCAGAGGACTTGAGACTCTGGATTATCCATAGAGTAAACTGAAATAAGATATTCAACCCCAATTTTCTGTTTTACTGGGTGTGATTTATACACCAGAATTGACTGGGCATGAGAACTTCAGAGAATGGCTTTATAATTATACAAAAAGTAACTAAATCATATGACAGCTAGCTCTTTCGTAAGTACTAAAAAGTTTTGTTCAATTTTAGCCAAGTTTCATGCTGGAGCAACAAGCTGCGAAGGAGCCACACATGGTGCGATATTGTGCAGTCTCATCTATAGAATATGGCCATAAAATGGTAATAACGGATATACACTGGCTGCCAGATTTGTTTGAGGTAAGATGTAACTATTAATAATATCATATTTGTGTGAGTAATGGATAAAATGCACTTTCAATGAGCAGCTTAATACTAACGGAAACATAAGAGTTGGGATTAGGCACAATCCTCTTGTGGCTGATCTCAGATATATTGTGACAGAGCAACTTGCCAACTGAGCTACTCTGCTGGAAAAGATCTACCAACAAAAGTGGGCAAAGAAAGGATGGAGCAAGGGATAGACTCAGGGCGTCATCACACAAAAGGGAAAAGTGGGCGATAACGTATTCTTCTCATTGACTTCTATAGCGTTCTATCTTGAAGGAAGGTAGAGAATTTGCTCACCCCATCACATAGGATGTGCCTCTATCCATTTCTAGTTAAACTGTGCACATCATTCTTCATCACACATATATCCCCCTTTAAAAAATGTTGTAGCTGCACAATTTCAAACATTTGAAATTTTGCAATTGCACAATTTTGGAAAAAAAAATCTCTCTCCCCCTCCCTGCCCTCCTTGTGATGTGGACACTCCTGGATGACAGAAAGGAAGGAGGTGGTTGTTGTTTCCTCCCATTCCATTGTCCATGGAGTGCACATGCCACAGATTTCTTTCGTTTTTTTTTAAACAAGTGAAATTGCAGAATTTCACATATTTGATATTTCACCATAATAGCAACAAAAAAGGAGGAAAAATTATTTACCAGTCCTTCCCTGTGTCCAGTGAATGGACATAGAAAAAGCATTGAGGGACATGAAAAGACCACCCACAGGCATGCTCATATTGAAACATCAGAAAACAGGCCGAAAATGAGGAAATACACAATTTCCCATCCCACAGAAAAATACCAATTTCTAAGCGTTTCTAATAGGGAGACAAGTGGAGTTGATTCTAGCCCTTCTTTAAAATCTACCAGTTTCCACACACTGCAGAGGCGGTTCCACAGGAAACCCACAGTAAGGCTTTTGTGACATTTGATGGGATCCATGGGATTTTGTCTTTGAAGTGTGTAGAAACAGAGGCCACCCTCCATGTGATGAGGTCTTCAGTCAGACCAAGCACAAACCACTCCCTGAATATAGTATGACTTGGCTCCATCATTTTACTACCTCGGTTTTGAGTGGATCTTCTGCTGGAATTGGGGATGATGGGTGATTGCAAACTACACCTAGCAGTTGTGCATTCCATCTTGGAATGCTAAATACTATTTCGTTTGCTCTTTTCTTAGCTCAATAGAATGGGCACTGTGTTCGAAAACAGAGCTGGAGTTTCTGTACAACTTGCAACCTGTTCACCTGACTGGTAATATTTTTAAGGTTTATTATACTGTCCTCACTTGGCAATAAACTCTCCAATATTAGTCTAGTAATTAACTGTGCATTTGTATATTCTCTCACCAACCCTCTTTGTGGTCTGTTTACTTTAACACTTACACTGAAACTGATAACATCTGCACATGGAAAAAGCAACAACAATTTCTTTCATGCCACATAAGGATATCGCTTTCATACTACTTCAGCTGCCTTGGCTCTGTGCTATAGAAACTAGAAATTTTTAATTTCATTGGGTATTTAGAATTGTTCACCAGAGAAATGTAGTGGTTACCAAACTATACATCTCAAAGAGCCATAGAATTCAGTGTTGGCAGTTACTAAGCATATAGTGTTGGCAGTTACTAAGCATATAGTGCTATAATGGGATTACAGTAGCTCAGTTTCAATTGGTGAGTACTGTTGATGTGGACTAGCCACTGTGGTAATTAAGGAGGACAACCTGCTTTCTTGATTCCTGTCTCTCTTGGCTGGTTGTCCAGGGAGAAGATTAAATCTCATGTACAAGAAATTGTCAATGCATCTCTTAGCAAAGGGAATTTTCCCTCTTGTTTAAAAGTAGCAGTATTTAGACTACTCCTGTAAAAGCCTTCCCTGGATCCCCAGGATCTTAGTAACTACAGATCCTCCACCTCCAGGCAGTGTTGGATGACACGCACTTCCTTGACCCATTTCAAACTGGCTTCAGAGCAGGAGACGGAGGTGAGACTGCTATGGTCACCTTAGGGCCTTTCCACACAGCCCTCTATCCCAGAATATCAAGGCAGAAAATCCCACAATATCTGCTTTGAACTGAGTTATCTGAGTCCAACTCAGATAATGTGAGATTTTCTGTCTTGATATTCTGGGATATAGGGCTTTGTGGAAGTGCCCTTAGTGGATGATCTCCATCTAAACACTGAGAAGGAGGTGTGTCTCTGTTGGTGCTTTTAGATCTCTCCATGGCTTTTCATACCATTGGCCATGGCATCTTTCTGGAATGCCTGGGGATTGGGGATTGGAGGCACTGTGCTACAGTGGTTCCGGTTATACCTCTCAGGTAGGTTCCAGATAGTAGCACTTGGGGATAGCTGCTCCTCAAAAAAGAAGCTGTTATGTGGTATCCCACAAGGTGCCATTTTATTCCCCATCCTTTTAAACATTTACATGAAACAGCTGGAGGACATCATTCAGAGGCATGAGGCGGGGTGCTATCAGTTCATTGATGATACCCAAATATGGAATAGTTCTCCATGCCTTCCGAAACATGGAGCTAAAGATTTGTGTGTCTCCTCTGAATGAATGCCTGAAGGAGGTAATGGGCTGATATCTAATTCACAAATATCAGATATATAGCAGTAAAAGAAAACTTCTTGTTCTTTGCTGTTGTTATTTGGATTACAAAGTCTTACAAACAGAGAGGAAATCAAAGTTATTCACTACCAGAACAAAAATAAAAATGGGCCATCTTGCAAGTGTCCATCAGGAAAATATTTCATAAAAGAATAAAATGGGTCATAGAAATGAGTACTAGTATATCCTCCTTAAGGAAAACTTCCTCGCTACCTAGCTTTCAAGTTAGCCATGCAGTCCTTATCATTCCCTCATTGATTTTCTGCAGCATTGTCTATTTTTGGGATCTTCGAGCACATAGACCTACTGGCCAATCTTCAACTGAGAAGAAAAAAGATGAGAAGATTCTTGCCCCTTTACCAGATGTACCTCTTACGTTTAAACATCTAGACCTTGTCTGGAGGCCTCTCCTTAAGGTATGGGGCTGCAAGGAATTTGGGAAGAGCAATGAAGATGTGTTGGTGACTGTCCTGCCCCCACACAAGCTGCTTGTAGGGAACAGATTGGAAACTACACAGAGGAACAGTAAACAAGGATTTAATGACTAATAAGAAGTTCTAACCCCCTCTCCTCCCGGATATAACTTACAAAGTCCTTGTGAAGAGAAGCAGAGTCCTTGCCAAACTGAGGTTTTTGACTGCTTATCTTCTCTTGTTGTCTCTTTTCTAGTTGTCTCTTTTCTTATTATTCCTGTCTCTGAAATAACTCTGCTGCTTGACTTGAAATGACTCCGACCTTGATGTGCTACTTGTGATCCTGTCCAGTCTTCCTCTCTTTTTACCTTCCAATTGTAAAATAGCAAATTCTCAGAGGAACTACTTACTTACTTACTTACTTACTTACTTACTTACTTACTTACTTAAGCAATCCCTCATTGTCCGAGTAGGATAATCCTCCAGGGTGGGTCCGTAGGTGATTGTGGAGCCCTATTCTTGACCTGCATCTTCTCCCACAGTGAGGGAATTGGTTTCCAGGTGGAAGGCGGTCCTGGTCAGGGTTGACTTGATGTGCCTTCCTCTCGGCACGTTTCTCTCTTTCGCCCTCCATTTGGCCTCTTCAAATTCTGCAGCACTGCTGGTCACAGCTGACTTCCAGCTGGAGCACTCAAGGGCCAGGGCTTCCCAGTTCTCAGTGTCTATGCCACAGTTCAGTATCATTTTCAGTATCTGTTCTTTTCTGGGCACATTTTTAAAAAACGTAGCCACACAATTTTTTCCATGGACATTTCCATTTCTATGTGTTCTGTATATTCTGAACAGGTAACCCTGGCCAAGACAGATACGGGTGCAGAATACAGCCCAACAAAAATTAGCCTTAAAGAAGAGCATTATCACACTAAAATTCAAGGTAATTTGTTTTTACATTTCATGTTTTTCAAATTGCATAGACAGAACAAGGCAGTTAAAAATTCTTTTACTGACCCTATATTTACTAACGCATTTTGGTGAGCAAAAGGAAATGTTTGATTATGCAGCTTTGCTATGGCAGTAATTGTGTCCACTTTATTTTGAAGATAAAACACAGCCACAGGTCAAACCAGAGACAACTACAGAAAAGGTTCCTTATAGTGAGATACAGCCCACATCAATGAAACCTCTTAAGCTATTGGAAAATATTACCAGCAGCTTTTTCGTTGGGACTGAAGTAAGTTGTTTTTTGGAGTAAAAAATACTGTTAATGACAAGAAACGTTTGGAGACTGTTGGATAATATCTCTCTGCGAAGAAATACTTAATGAACTGTCCAATAAATTATTAGCCTGAATCAAGGGAGGATATTGGAAACAGGTTTCTATTACTACTCTTTGTAGTTCTCTCCAGAACTGTAATGTTACTGAAGTCCCAGAGTTGCAAGCATTCAACTTACAAATGACTTGTAGTTTCTATTACTACTCTTTGTAGTTCTCTCCAGAACTGTAATGTTACTGAAGTCCCAGAGTTGCAAGCATTCAACTTACAAATGACTTGTAGTTAAGAACACGGGTTATTTATTTATTTATTTATCGTGTCAGAAGCGAACCGAGGGAACAGTTGTAATGTATTTTAAAACACAAAGTTAAAAAATCTTGGCATTATACTAAATGACATTTGACCAGTAGCTGGCCGCTTGGGTTGCCTCTGGTGTTGCTATAAGAAGGTCCTCCGTTGTGGATGTGGCAGGGCTCAGGCTGCAATGTAATAGGTGGTCTGTGGTTTGGTCTTCTCCACACCCGCATGTCATAGACTCCACTTTAAAGCCCAATTTCTTAAGATTAGAGCTGCATCTCATGGTCCCAGGACGAAGTATGTTCAGCACCTTCCAAGTCACCCAGTCTTCTTGTGCCCAGGAGGGAGTTTCTCATTCGGTATCAGCCATGGCTTAAGGTTCCGGGTTTTAGCCTCCCCGCAGGATCATAACACATCCAGGCATTCCCTGGGGAATGTCTTTGTAGACAGCTGATTCTCTCACAACCAGAAGCGATTTGCAGCATGCAATCAAGAACAGAGGTGAAACAACAGGAAGTGAGAGAAATCTACTGCTCAGAATGGAAATTCATTCCTTGAAAGAGTTATAATGAGGAAAATATGTCTTCACTGAAGCTTTGTCACCAATCCTTATTTCTACAACATGCTAATTTTTTCAAAATCCAGTTATCACAGGAATGGAAAATAAGGTGAAATCTTCTGAACAGGGGCACAGACAGCAAAACAAACACCACAGGGGTGTTAACCCTACCTTATACTACCTAAAGCTTGCATATATACATGGATGGAGTTACACTTAAAAAAAATGTTCAAACTTACAAATTCAGCTTAAGAACAAACCTACAGAGTCTATCTTGCTTGTAGCCTGGGGACTGCCTGTACACCAATTTCAAGCATTTAAATCCAAACAGGAACATTTATTGGTAAGCATATGGAGATAGATCACTACTCATATGCAATTTCAGCAATGCAATGAAAAAATACACATAGTCTAAAGTGTGTTGTTAGAGGTTACTTAGAATCATCCTCCAATCACTTGCATTAGGTCACTATGGGTGATGCAATGGGTTAAATCCTTGTGCTGGCTGAACTGCTGACCTGAAGGTTGGTGGTTCGACTCCATGAGATAGAGTAAGCTCCCATCTGTCAAGTCCAGCTTACCACGTGTGTTACCTCCCACAGGATGGTAACACATCCAGGCGTCCCCTGGTCAACGTCCTTGCAGACAGCCAATTCTCTCACACCAGAAACGACTTGCAGTTTGTCAAGTCACTTCTGACATGATTTTAAAAACTATAGTAGTTTGATATAGTTATGTAGTTTAACTGCCATAGTTCCATCCTTTGGAATCCTGGAATGTGTAATTTAGTGAGTTATCTAGACTTCTCTAGAGAGCGTTCCCTTGAACTACAACTCTAAATCTCTTTGGCAGATGCTACCAAGTACCTTAGGTAATTACAAATCTGAAGATACAATAGAATGGAGCCATGGGAGTATCAAGTGTCATAACTGTACATTATACACAGAAGTATAATGCGCAGCAGTTCACCTTGGTCGATCTGTTTTGGTTTCTTATTAATAGAGATCTCAGGACATATTTCTCACGTAGGGACTCTGTCTATGATTTCATCAGGACAGTGGAGTGTTGGGGAAGTAGTTGAGAGCTTGAGAAAGTTATTGTTTGGGCTGCAGCTTCCCAAATTCCCAGCCAGCATGGTCACTGTCTTTTCGGATTTATACTCTAAGACAGTGTGTATGGTTCAAAATGAGGTTCTGACCCGAAGGTTCATGTTAAGATTGTCTCAGATGAAAAGATCCCTTTGTGATGGCAGCATTCCCATCAAGTTGGTAGAACAAAGGGGCCCCTTATGTTTGCTCTGTATTTGATCCCTGTTTTAAGAAAGCAAAACAAAACATGACAGAAATCATTCCTTTGCCTAAGTGTATCTCTCTTGCCCAGAAACACAAAGCGTCCAAGCCAAAACGTTGTTTTTTAAAAAATCACATCATAATGTTGTCAAAGTCTTTCATGGATGGAATCACTGTGTTGCTGTGAGTTTTCTGGGCTGTATGGCCATGTTCCAGAAGCATTCTCTCCTGATGTTTCACCCACATCTGTGGCAAGCATGCTCAGAGGTTGTGAGGTCTTTTGGAAACTAGACAAGTGAGGTTTATATATCTGTGAAATGTCCAAGGTGGGAGAAAGAACTCTTGTCTGCTTGAGGCAAGTGTGAATGTTGCCTTTAAACAATCAAACAGTTTCACTCCATTATCATGTCTGGTTGCTGATGACACGATAAATAAATAAACTCCATTATCAGGTTTTCAATCCAAATACACCTAATAATATGAAAGCAATGCAGGAAACAAGTTCTGATTTGCAAACATTTTTACCACTTCAAAAGGGATCAAATATTGACTTTAAAAGATGAGCAGTGTTTCTGCATTTATTTCTCTATTGCACCATCTTTCTTTCTTTGGTGATCTTACAGGACGGTGAAATTCTTTGTTCAGACTGGAAGATGGAAAGAGATGGAGATTCAGGAAGACTGCTTAGTACGTTTTATGTTTCTCAACATAGATTGCTGGGAGACCAGAGTCGTGATCATTTCATAGGCGAAGACTAAGAGTTAACATGCATCATAGATACTCATGTTCTTCAAAGGTTGCATACAATGACATTTTGAACCAGTGTTAAAAATGACTTTGCTGAAATTAGCAAAATTGCAAGTATGAAGCTGGAAGTCAGCATGCAGGAGGCCAAAGAGAACCAGGCAAGAATCAACTCTTAAAAGCAGGGTGTTTTGGAAATTGCTTGAACTCTCATTCCCAAAAGCCCCTATCAGTCTGGCCAGTAGTAAGAGAGGATGCAGCATAACAGAGCAGGATGATGGGAGTCATTCCTGGGCATCTGAAGGGAGACACGACCCCCAGACAATCCTTACAAATATCAGCACTGGAGACCATGCACAGGAAGAATGGTCTTGGTGGTGCAGTGGATTAAACCCTTGTGCCAAAAAGACTGAAGACCACAGGTTGCAGGTTCAAATCCAGGGAGAGTGTGGATGAGCTCCCTCTGTCAGCTCCAGCTCCTCATTTGGGGACATGAGAGAAGCCTCCCACAAGGATAGTTAAAACATCAAAACATCTGGGTGTTCCCTGGGCAATGTCCTTGTAGACGGCCAATACTCTCACACCAGAAGCCACTTGCAGTATCTCAAGTCACTTCTGACAGGAAAAATGTAAAAAGCATCAGTCTTAACAAAGAAAAACTGTGTTAAGTCGGTGACTGTTACTATTGGAATCAGTAAAATGAAATTATCAATACATCTTTCGTGAACAAGGGATAAATAACTATTGCTATTGATTAGACATACACAAGGCTGTTTTTCTCTTTCTTAGTGAAGGGGAAGGAGGCTGAGAGCTCTTCAGATAGGCTGAAGGAGTAATTCACTACACATGGGTTAAGCCCTCATGATAACCTGATTGAGATAGGAAAGAAAAGTCATTCTAGATTGCTCCTTCAGCCTCCTTAGAATGGCCATTTACAATGAGTATCAACCTTTCATGTCAAACTGAACATTTTATAGGTTGCAGGTAGGAAACTCTCATCTTGGTTGCATTAAATAGTTTACTTCTTCCTTCCATAAGGCCAGAAGCCAAGCAACGTACATATCATTCATGATGGACTTGTGCACACTGTACAGAGGTCCCCGTTTTTCAAAGACATCATTCTCACAGTCGGAGGCTGGAATTTTGCAATCTGGAAAGAAGGCGTTACGGTACATTGCTCTGAAGTAGTAATATCTCTAGAGGGGTGCGTGGGGGCGGGGGGGGGGTACAAACCACATTGTGTAACACTAAAATGACTGTCTATACACTTTTTGTATGATGTTTTAGTAGAAATGTATTTTTTTAAAGTCCCTATAGTTAAATATAACCACCAAATTAGGCTGCCAAACATTTTGAACTATCAGAACAACTCTTTATCAGAAGAACACTGATTTATTTAACTAGTACCCTTATGAATAGGACAGTACTTAGATGGAAATTTGATCAAATATTTTGTTATTTAGCCCTTTATGTTTATGTAGGGGTTTTAATTTTGTATTGATCAATAAGAATTCCAACATATTAAAGGAGTATATAGTTTTGTATTTCCTAATATCAATAAGAATTTTGATACACACGTCCCTTATTTCATCATAAAGTTCTGGAGCCCCCAATGGTGCAATGGGTTAAACCCTTGTGCCAGCATGACTGCTGCCCGAAAGGTCAGCAGTTCGATTTCGGGGAGTGGAGTGAGCTCCCGTCTGTCAGCTCCAACTCCTCATGCAGGGACATGAGGGAAGCCTCCCATAGGATGGTAAAACATCTGGATGTCCCCTGGGCAACGCCTCTGCAGACGGCCAACTATCTCACACCAGAAGTGACTTGGAGTTTCTTTAGTCACTCCTGACATTAAAAAAAAATCTTAACGTGTTGAACCCATGGACAATCAGAATATGTCATTTCTGTTCTGCTATATCATAATTCACAAAAAAATGAAAAGTAAATATGCCTCACTGTGGTTGGGCCACAAAGTAACTTGGTAAAGAAAAGCGATAATTCATAAAGTTTTTTTTTTTGTTCCTGTGGTTTGTTCAGTAAAGGAGTCTGGTGTATGGCCCATCTATCCTTTCTCTTTTGTTAGCATACAACTCCCTTTGTTAGAGAGTTCTTGAATATCAAATGAATTGAAAATGGGAAGCAAGCAGGGTCCTCATCTCAAAATCTAGGTTTTTATCTGTTCTTCCACACAACTTTAGCATGTTGTGTTGATATTAATTGCCATCCAATCGGCTTTGATTTATGGAAGAGACTCCCAAACTCTGGTCCTCCCAGGTTCTCTGACCATTGGTGATATTGGCTGTTTTGAAATCCAAAACATGTGAAATATCTGAGTTTGGGAATCACTGACTTATGGTATCCTATGAATGAAAGATCTCCAGGATAGTGTGTTATCAACAAGCTGGCTATATGTGTTGTCAAAGGCTTTCATGGCTGGAATCACTGAGTTGCTGTGCGTTTTCTGGGCTGCATGGCAAGCTCCAGAAGCATTCTCTCCTGATGTTTTATCCACATCTATGGCAGCCATCCTCAGATCTTTCAGCCTCTGAAAATGCCTGCCATAGATGTGGGTGAAACATCAGGAGAGAATGCTTTTGGAACATGGCCATACAGCCTGGAAAACCCACAGCAACCAAGCCAGCTATAGAGCTATGGCTTCCTTGATTGAATCAGCCCACTTCTATTGTGATGTTCCTGTTTTTCTACTGCCTTGAATTTTACCAACTATTCATTTTGAAATGGTGAGAAAGTGTTCACATTCTAGAATACCAGAACACATGTTGATGGAGAATATTAAGAGAACAATTTCTATGTATATTCATTTTTTACTTTGATTTTCTGTTTTGGATTAAGAGTGGGCCACTCCTTGAGTCAAGCTGCACAGCCAAGAGATACACTGCTGGGCACTGGTCCTTATCAAGACCAGGCGTCTTTTTCATTGGAAGAGAGGATGGAAACATTGACATTTGGGACCTCCTGGAGAAAACTCATGAGCCATCTCAGACCCAAAATGTCTGCATCACACTGATTACTTACATCAAGCCCTGGTTTTACTCTTGTATGTCTGGACTGTATTTTTTATTTTGCTTCTCTGATTGTAACTTTGCAATGTCTTTAGTACAGGAAGGCTGTTATCCTGTTAGTGGCATGGACAGAGGTGTAAGTCAGCTTTCATGCCTATGCATGTTTCTCTTAGGTCAATGTAGGGTTGGTTTTCCCTTCCTCTACCTTCCCACCAACCAATGTTCCCTTCTGGACTCCCAACCCAGCCATTCTATTCCTGGTGCAGAGCAGTGAGTGACTGAAGGAGTATCTGGCGATATCCTTAAAGCCAGATACAAAATGATTACATCATCCATTGAAACATCCATAGGACTTCAGTGAAATTCAGTGAAGGATGTAATCATTCCAAGTGTGGTTACAGGTTCATAGCCAGATGTATCTCTAGTGCCCCAACACTCTCACCAGGTACAAAAGAGCCATAGGTTCCAGCTTATATGTCCAAATGTGTCTACCTCTATGAACCATCTCGGAGGTTAAGATCATCCGGGGAGGCCCTACTCTCAATCCCATCACCCTCGCTGGTGTGACTGGTGGGGATGATAGACAGGGTCTTCTCGGTGGTGGCCCCTCGGCTATGGAACTCCCTCCCCAGAGAAATTGGATCAGCTCCTTCCCTCCTGACTTTGAGGAAGAAAGTGAAGACATGGTTGTGGGACCAAGCATTTCCACAATGATTCCTAGTGCAATGAGTAATGCAAGTGACAATTGGAATGGCTTTTGGAATATGCTTTTGGGCTGTCTGATTTTAAGTAATTGTTTTAAGTGATATGTTTTCATTATGAGATTTTAAAGTATATGTTGTTTTATTTTTATAAGTACTCTAGGCATTGGATTGTGACTTTGTCGTGAGCCATCCTGAGTCCCCTTCGGGGTGAGAAAGATGGGATATAAATATGGTAGATAAATAAATAAACTGTGGTAGATCTAGGGATCACCTGATTAGCCGGCACAATATTGTTCCATGTGCACGACTACTATGCTACAGTGGACCATATAGAATTGTAGCCAAAAAGAAAAATCACCAATTAGCAAAAATGTATTTTAAAAAAAGATAAAACAATTTCCAATGATACACATCAGTGCCAAATTCTTAGACTGGGAATATTAGCTGCATGGTCTGTATTTGAAAATAACCGCTACCTGTATTAGGATTCTAGTTCAATGGGCTTTAAGCAAGAGATGCTTAGGGACAGCAAATTTAGGTGGAGAGGATGCCATTTGTACTTGAAAATTTTTAGTTGGCCAGAATAAGTCAAATAATTTATTCTCAAAGTGAACATTTTATGATCTCTTTGTTAATTGTCACATTTACTGGCCTCAAATACTTGGCACCATTGTTGTTGTTTCATGACTGTCTGTAATGTCATCCTCTGTCTTCTCTTACAGCAAAGCAACACTTTCTAGCAGTATCGGATGACTTTGGTACTCTACATATTTTAGAAATTTCATGGACATTAAGCCATCCTTCCAGCAATGAGGTTTGTAACCTGTTCCACAAGGTCTTGGTGCTGTTGGAGTCGTGGATCATGGAAGGGATTTCACAGGGGCTTTCTGGGCATTTCAGGTGGCAGTTTGCATGGCCATCTTGTGGCAGTCTATTGTATAGCAAAGATGTGACGCATTTTTGGACAACAGATAAAAGGTATAAAAGTTGCCAGCAATTTTCAGCAACTGGAAAAAATGGCTGAAGTAGGATCAGCTAAGGACTATTTTAGGATACAAAGTTATGTGTTGGATGGGAAGCATGGCTTCACCACTGTTTGTCCCCTGAACAAATTCCCAGCAGCTGCAGTTGTAGGAGAACCACACACAAGGTGCTTCCAGATAATTATCTACCTTGTATCACATGGAAATTTAGAAAGGTTTAGCCTGTAACATTTGCCATTTTAAATCTTCTCCTTTCCTACTCCACCTTTTTTACTTTCCATGTGAAGTCTCTTCAAGAAGTGCAAACTGAATAGTAACAGAATGACTTTTGGATGGAAGCAGTAGGAAGTGCCCATCAGGAAGCACCCAAAGTCTTTTATTTAGCCAGAAATTCAGTCATGCTTATTAATTAAGAGCCCTGCAAACTGTTTTTTTAAGGCAGGGGGTTTAATATTGACTGAGAAGAAGGGGTTAGAACTATGCTTGGGAGTCATCCAACTGCTCTTTTGCACTTGAGGTGGATGTATTGCACCGGAAGATATAATATACCTCTGTGGACAATGCCACAAAAAGTAAATACTTGGGTTGTTGTAGGTTTTTCCGGGCTATATGGCTATGTTCTAGAGGCATTTCTGAGGATGCTTGCCATAGATGCGGGCGAAAAGTCAGGAGAAAATGCCTCTAGAACATGGCCCGGAAAAACCTACAACAACCCAGTGATTCCGGCCATGAAAGCCTTCAACAATACAGTAAATACTTGAGCATAACTAGAAGTTAAATCATCTACAAGATATTGGGCAAGTGGACTTATTAACAAAAGACCATCCTCATAAATGCACAGCAGAGTAACTTAAACGGTTCTGGTCTGGCTTACCTATCCAAACGTATCACTCCTTATGAACTATCTAGGACTTTAAGATCGTCTGGGGAGGCCCTGCTCTCGATCCCGCCTTCCTCACAGACACGTTTGGCGGGGACAAGAGACAGGGCCTTCTCAGCGGTGGCCCCTCGGCTATGGAACGCCCTCCCTAGGGATATAAGATCAGCTCCCTCCTTTCTAACATTACGCAAGATGGTCAAGACCTGGTTTTTCGAGCAGGCTTTTACTACTGGAGCATAATTAGATGAAAATGAATCATGGGATGCTTGACAATGTAATTGGATCACGATTTCAGTAAGGAGACGTTGAGGATTTGTTTTATGGATATTATTGTTTTTATATTTTTAATGTTGAACTGTTTCTATAACTGTTTTATAATTGTTTTTAACTGAATCCTGATATTGTTATGGCATCGAATCACTGCCGATTGTGAACCGCCTTGAGTCGCCCCTGGCTGAAATTGGTAGTATACAAATGCAGTAAATAAATGAATAATAAATAAAAATTATCAGCGTGACCCAGTACAAGTAACCCAAAGTGATAAAAAGAACAATAACACACAAATCAATGGTTATCTCTTCCAAGGTTTCCATGACACAAATAAAGTTCAATCTTCATATTGGAGTTTTACATACGACAGCCTTCTCATATTGAGGCTTACCTCACAGAGAGGCTTCTCTCGCACACTAAGGCCTACCTCACACTGTGAGGCCTTCTCATAGATTAAGCCCTTTCTTCTACTGAGGCAAATGAACACAGAGGCCTACTAATCTACAGGCACACCTGCTTATATAGAAGTGCAGCTTTTGCTGAGTCATTGCATCCACTTAACGCTTTTAGTGCTTGACTCAGATGTTTGTAATTAAAAATACTTGTTAATAACTAATATTTCTGACACAAGATTCCAGTTGTAAGCCTCCCAGATGGATTGAATTGTGGCAGTGTTGTTTCTGTTGCTATATATTTAGTCAGCCTGTCATAATGTAAGTAACTCTGGGAACCTCAGCGTTCCAGTGTTCTTTATTACTTTGAGAGAGAAGTCAACCACCTGAAGTTTCGTGAGCAGCGGAAAGAATTCAGAGAGCAAGAAAGAGCGGCCCTGGAGCATGAAAAAACATTGAGGAAAATGGTAAGATATTCTTAAGAGGCTCAAAACAATATTGTTAAAAGCTAACACACTTAAGATGTTGGATCCTTGACTATTGGTCCAGTATGGAAAGATCTCAATTCTTGATTTTACAAACAACATTGTCCTAGAGCTGGTTCACATGGCCGTGAGTTCATGGGTTTCTCCCAACCAAAGATTTATAGCTTTAGGGTTGCATTCAAAGCCAATTAGTTGTTTGTTTCTCAGCACATGACTTCCTATAATAAGAGGCATTCTCATGGAACGTCTTTGATTATTCTTCTTATTTGTATTTTACAAAATGTAATGTCTGCTAATGCAATGTCTTAGGAAAACACAGGAATCACTCACTTTGTGTGGGAAACTGGGATATTTGGACTTTTGAGTGGGTGTCAGGAGTACTCTCACCATACGGCTGGTGTATGGATCTGCAACTATTTCCAGAAGATGAAATGATGTGGCAAAAATAAAAATAACTCACCCAAAAATCTAATGCTAGGTAAAAGTGGGCTCTGAATTCATAACAAGAACCTACCATTTTCTGATATGTTTTGTAGACACCAAAGAGATACTACACCGCAACCCAACAACAAAAATACCTTATTTTAAAGAGAACTCTCCTTATACTCTGTCATGCACTGTTCTGACCATTCACAAAATTTCATCTAGTCCTCAATGATGGCAAGAATTATATAAAAAAGACTATCTTACTTACTTAGGTGATCCCTCATTGTCTTGGCGGTGGGTCTGTAGGTGACTGTGGAGCCCTATTCTTGACCCGTATGTTCTTCCACAGTGAGGGCATCCATTTCCAGATGGAAGGCCGTTCTGGTCAGGGTTGGCTTGATGCACCTTCATTTTGGCACATTTCTCTCTTTCACCCTCCATTCATGCATCTTTGAATTCCGCAGCACTGCTGGTCACAGCTGACCTCCAGTTAGAGTGCTCAAAGGCTCAAAGGCTAGGGCTTCCCAGTTCTCAGTGTCTATGCCATAGTTTTTAAGGTTGGCTTTGAGCCCATCTTTAAATCTCTAAAACGACTATCAAGTACTCTGGGACTAGAGGTAGAGGATGCAAGTAGAGCATATTTAGCCATTGGTCCTTAGTTCATGGAAGATGCTACTCACACCTACAAATTGCTGTTGAGATAACATTGTAGATTGCATTTAATCTTTCTTGTTTAAATAACTGTAAAGAAAAATTAATGGTCTAAATACTGGCAATCTTTGGAGGCCCCAGTCTTCCAACATTTCACAGGACACATGTTGCCAAGGAACATCCAAGGATGGTCAAGATGATAAAGGTTAATACAAAGGGTGACTACAAGCGAGGAGAGTGTGCATCACTTTGCTCTTGCCTAAGCCTCCTCTCTCCCTTCTGAGTTAACTGGGAACGCAATAGTATGCATTTTAAGCTCAATATTACAGCAGTGGAAGTAAATCAGAGACAAATGGGAAAAGTGAGAGGAGAGAGAAATTGACTTTTTAAAACAGCTGAAAGAGTGGAGTGACAGAAGATTATTCAGGATTCTCAGAACCGTTGGAAGGTGTCTTTTCCCACATGCAGTGAAGGATGATAATAATGATAAGGTAAAGGTTTCCTCTGACATTAATTCTAGTCGAGTCCGACTGGGGGGTGGTGCTCACCTCCATTTCTAAGCTGAAGAGTCATGTGGCCAGCATGACTGCATGGAGCGCTGTTACCTTCCCGCCAAGGTGAAGCGCTGTTACCTTCCCGCCAAGGTACCTATTTATCTACTCACATTTGCATGTTTTCCAACTGCTAGGTTGGCAGAAGCTGGGGCTAACAGTGGGAGCTCACCCTGCTCCCTGGATTCGAACCGCCAGCCTTTCAGTCAGCAAGTTCAGCAGCTCAGCAGTTTAACTTGCTGCACCACCAAGGAGCCCAATGATAATTATAATCAATTTATTCCTTACTCAGCTCTCCTAGTGGCTCGAGACAGGTTACGACATTGCCAAAAGACACACACAATCGTCTAAAAACATTTTACAAAATACACATATTAAAACATATTTACACAAAATACATATTAAAATACACTGAACAAAGTTTAAACATAAGACAGAAGTTTAAAATTGGTGATTAAAACTAGCTGGGTAGCTAGAAAGGATGGATCTGGTTTACTCCTAAAATGTTGCTGGGTGTTTTAGAAGCAGAGTTCTCTCCAGGGACATCAGATACTTCCTTCAATGTTCTTGCCGATAACACTGAGTACTTTTCCTTCACTTGCAGAGACCACCTGGTGGCCAACGATCGAGAGAATTAATGGAAGAAAAAACCCAACAAGACTATGTCGATTATTTGGAACTAGAAAAGTCTGTTCTTACACGACTTGGACAACTGAAGGGACCGGATAAATATAGCCCATCAAGAACTGGTTAAATTTGTGACTAACTGTTCTTGTATTCAGTCTTCCACAATATATTTAGCATTACTGTGATCCAAAGACACGTGAAGGGATAGTAATTTGAAGTACTGGTTTAGGAATCTACAGGGAGGCAATACTCACTGCCCTTCCCCTTTGCTAGCCGTTTTTAGCTTGTTTCACATTGGGCATTGCCCAGAATCCCAAATAAAAGAGGGAGCTGTATGTTGTTCTTCCTTACTTTGCAATAGGTGTTATAAATGTACAAGTAGGCAATCATTAATGTATTATTCAGTTGTGTATTTATAATAAAAGCAAACCTTTTTGCATTGTGGTTGAGTAGTATTTAATACAAATAGCACATAGACTCATCGTTATATAGTCACACCTATAAAGTAAAGACAAGAAAGAAAGGGATTTTCTAGTCATTCAAAACTGATATTAACCATCCGTTTTTGTCCAGACTTGTGAGGGGGTTGTGTGCAACACAGTCAGGGTCAGCCTTGAACTGAGTGCTTGCCTTGACCACTAAATTCAGCCACTCAGCAGCTTCCTGTTTGTTGAATATAATATAGTGTAGTGCTTTGGGTATTGGACTAGAACTCTGGCTTAAATCCCTACTTGATCATGGAAGCCTCTTAAGTGACCTTGAGCAAGTCACACTTTTTCGGTCTTAGAAGAAAGCAAAGGTAGGCCCATTTCTGAATTCAAGAAAATTCCAAAATAGGGTCACTATAGTGTCACCATGCATTGGAAATGACTTGGAGGCACACAACAACTCTCTCCTGTTAGCTTTACTATATAGTAGAGTCTCACAACCTTCACTCATCCAACGTTCTGTATTATCCAACGCAGTCTGCTTCCAGCATTGCAATGTTCAATACATTGCAATTTTTTGGTGCTAAATTCATAAATACGGTAATTACTATATAACATTACCGTGTATTGAACTGCTTTTTCTGTCAATTTGCTGTAAAACATGTTGTTTTGAAGCTTAATTTGTAAAATCCTAAGGTCTCACACATTATTTTTGAAATGTAACTTTATTCTGTCCTCCTTACCAAGAAATGTAATTTGTTGCAGTAGATGGCAGGAGATGGAAGAAAGTACAGGAGAGTACTTTCTTCCATCTCCTGCCATCTACTGTCACAAATTACATTTCTTGGTAGGGAGGACAGAATAAAGTTACATTTCAAAAATAATGTGTGAGACCTTAGTGCCATAATGTTTCTAGTTATGGACTAACAAAGTAGCTACTAGTTCCTAGTAAAGTAAACTTTCTAGCTACTTATTGAAATAAAAAAGTAAAGGTTTCCCCTGGCATTAAGTCTAGTTGTGTCCGACTCTGGAGATAGTGTTCATCTCCATTTCTAAGCCAAAAAGCTGGCATTGTCCGTAGACACCTCCAAGGTAATGTGGCCGGGATGACTGCATGGAGCTCCGTTACCTTCCTGCAGAAGTTATACCTATTGATCTCACATTTGCATGTTTTCGAACTGCTAGGTTGGCAGAACCTGGGCCTAACAGCAGGAGCTCACTCTGCTCCCTGGATTCAAACTGCCAACCTTTTGGTCAGCAAGTTCAGCAGCTCAGCGGTTTAACCCACTATGCCACTAGAGGCTCATTGAAACACTACATTGCATTTTAAGGCATTTTTAGATACATTTGTTTTCACACTTTATACTCATTTCTTATTAATCCTATGGCACTTTTAAAACCACGTAACAATGGGATCTTCTTTCTGGTTCTCATTCTCCTTGCAGGACACCAACCCACAAATGTGCATGGAAAATGCCATACTTTTGTTCTCTGATTCTGTCCCCATCTGGGATCTCCTGCCCAATAGTGCAGGCAGGTTGACGTATGCAATGTGCCACCAAATCTAATGTGCACCTCCATTTTAGTGATGTAATTTAGCAGAAGAAGAAGAAGAAGAAGAAGAAGTGTGCATTAGATTTGAGTACTATATAGCTGCATTCTATAGAATCATGGGATCTGTGAGTCCTCAGCTTGAATGTTTTCAATTGTGCATTTCACTGCCTTATAGGAAGGCAATCTTGCTTACTTATTCTGGCTCTAATTTTTATACGTTCCACAGTAAGCATGAAACCAGAGCGTAGCTTCATAACAGCAGCTGCTTAATGACTTATTTCCATTTGAAGAAAAGAATGCCAAATTTGGCAAAGCACAAGATTTCTCTGGCAGAGACTTCGACATTCCTCATGAAACTACAAATCCTAGGATTCCAGAGGATATAGCCATGCAAAGGGTGTAGAATGAAAGCGCTTTAGACAGTATTTACCATGTTCCCATATACATAGTGAGAGGCAGTAAGAGGCAAAACAAAAAAAAAGGATCTTTTCCTGCCCCTATTCTCCACCCCAGTGATAATTTAGGTAATTGCTGCTCTCATCTGTAAAACAAAAATAATTTCACTCCTTATTATTACAAAGGACCATGTGCATCCATTTGTCCTTGTACCACAGGCTGGCCCTTTAACACTGGAGGTTTGTGGCCTGGCAATTGAGCTACCAGATGTGTCCCAAGCTTATCAGATTTAGAGATTTATGCTGTAAAAATCCCGAGAATCTACTTTGGCACTGGAAGTTTCAAGCTATTTTTAAAATACCCAGGCAAAGCCATTTTTCTTTTACTTTTTCAAACAAAGCTGGACCATAAAGCATTTTTTTCTGCAACCTTTGCAAAAAAAAAAAAAGACTCCCAAAGGATCCAAAGAATGAATTCAAAGGTCTAGCTCAAATGAATAAATATGTGGAGATTCCTGTCTAATCATTTGGGGTTAGGAGAGAGGCTGGAGCAATAAATCTGGGCTTCATTGTGCCTAATAACAAGGAGAGACTGAGATAGAGGGCATCATTTAGTCATCTTGATCAAATCTCCCAGGGCATCATATGGAGAAACTATCCCAAACATTTTAGAGAGACACTTCTGTAAAGTAGGACTTAAGTGCAATTGGCTGTGTGTGAATTTAAGAAGTGGGTTGGGAATATTCATGTGCATTTGGAGTAAACCTTGATCTGTTTCGAGTCCCAGTTTTGAGAGTGGCACCCAATCAGTTTCGACTGAGCCTGCCAAAATCAGGGCAGCGGGGGGCGGTGGGGGGGGGAGATTTATTTTCGGGTTTTGATGCTGAAAGATCTTTTTTTCCTGCCCATTATTGGGGTGGGGGCTGCCTACCCAGGCTCCCCTTCCCAGCATGTACTTTTGAATGGGGTTTGTCTCACCATCTCAGGAGTTGAAGGGCTCAATGGCTGGGGCTGAAGACCCATCACATTTGCTGCCAGTGGCCTTGCTCCGCAATGTGTCCAAAGTGCCTGGACCTGCAAGGGCTTTCAGCCAAGCACCGAGAAAGGTGTGCTCCTTATTTGGTGCTCTGCTGTAGGCTGTGCCAGGCATGGGTGCATAGGCCCAAAGCCTACACCCATGGGCCCAAAGCGCTCAAACCTGGCAGGTAAAGAGTGCTCCTTACTCAGCATTCGGCTGCACTTTGGACCTAAATGCATGACAATAAATCCAAAAAGCAGGCTTGGAACTGGTACCCGCTCCTGCCTGCCTTTTGTATCAAGTTTATTTTTGTTCCAGGAGAGGCCTTCCCATTCCGTGCCATCCAAATGGATGGAATGAAACGGAAACACAAATTTCGGACCCATGACTAGTAGGGAAGAAAGTAGCCAGCATGTGAAAAGAATGGCAAACGAAAAGTTAAAGAGCACATACGGCTTCCAATTGTAGATTGTAGCTCTAAGCATACAGGAAGTGCCATTAACATTAAATAAAGCAACTTGGCTCTTGGGGAATGCATTAGAACTGAAAGATTGTATAGAGACAGAAAAGTCAGAGAATGGCTATTCATTCTATATAAAATAAACAGTGAGGTGACAGACAGGCAGGGAAGGATAGCCAAGGAAAGGGATGGAAAGCAAAGGAAAAGGAGGCACAACACTCCATCAGGGTGGGCAAGAGGTGACCCCAGGTCTACGTGTTTTCTCCCAAAGTTGTTTTTATATCCCCAGACTGTGCAGTCTCCTGGAAGACTACGAGTGCAGAATTCACAGCAAATCTTATACCACAACTTCTGTTTCTTAGCTAGTTTCAAAGGTATCACAAGATCCTTCTGCATACTGATACCTCAAACTAACTTCATTACCATATATACGGTAATCAAGTTAGTCTGAGATATCAGTATGCAGATGTAAAAGTCAACATGAATAAATCGGGGAAGTTTTGGATTTTGATGTGACTTGTGAATGTCATTGAAAGCTCCAACATGGCCTTGAGTCCAGCCACCCCTGGCTTCCAACACCATTATTGCCCCACCTAGGCATTAAAAAGGTTAGAAGTGGTGTCATGGCGGAGAGAGTAGAGGGGTCAGTGCATCTTTTAGGCTCTTTTTAAGACTATTTTAAAGTAGTCACCTTTCACCGCTTTACTTCGAGAAAGGAAAGGCTCTTTTGTATAAGAGTTGACCTGCAGTACTCTCGTTGCCACACAGATAAGTTGACCCATGTTTTGGGGTTGATTTTTAAAGTATAACTTTAACTTATACATGAGTATCTAGGATATGTCTTTGATTTCTACTCATATTGCAAGAAAGACTTGACCAGGGACCACTTGAACAGGGATCGCTCTCCAACATTAGTACCAAAAGGATTATGAATCAGTTTTTGGTCAACTTTAGATTCAATTTGATTATTTGGGGTGTTGATTCAGAAAATGGCATTGGATAGACCACATCAGTTCTAGCTTCTGATACAGAAAATATGCCATCCAGTAGTCTCCATCTGCTCACCCACAGAAAGCCATATTTAGTAAACTAGAGCTGATGTGGTAGCAGTAATCTTTTGTGGGTAGTCAGGCTCTCCCCTCCCGACATCCTCATTGCCTTGGCACTATAAGAGGGTTTTGTGAGACCAGTTGCTCTCATTGCCACGTGATTTTAAGGCAACAATGTAGTAATGGTGAGGCCGCGGACCATATTTTTGTTCTTGTGCACAACTGGTGGTCCACAGACCACAAGTTGGGAACCAATGCTTTAAATTGTGGTTGCCATCAGTCTCAGTAAGCTCTGGCTAAAAGGGATAGCAATGAAATCACTCCAAAAACTTGCACAAGCGATAGATCCTTCACTGTTCCAGGTCAACATCATGACACTGAATTGGGAGTCCTGAAAAAATTAATAATTTCTCTTTTAATATGATCTTGAAACCAGAGACATGTAGAAATCACCAAGCACTATCTCTTCAAATAATTGCAACATTTTGCAAAATACAATCCATTTTTATTTTTATTTCATGTTTTATTCAGAATTAACATTTATAGTTCAAAAATAATCCACTTCCTGTACACATACTTAAAAAAAATACATCAGCTTATCAATAAATGTTTCAGGTTAAAATTTATGTTTTAAAACAGTACCATAATTATTGAATGAATGCATGTGTGTATTGCCACATTAATAATAAATTAATAGAAGGAGACTGGACAAAATGATGACATATCTATTTAGAGGTACATGAGGCAAAAACTGTGCACCAAATTCAGTCATCCTATGGTAAATAAATAACTAAAAATAACAATAATCAGACATTATATAGGAACAAGATAAATAGCACTTGAACCAGGGCCACAAGAAATGAAAGGGGTTGATAGTGTCATATGAAAAAAGCAAATTAAATTCTACAGTGTAGAGGAGGGTACATTTCAAAATGTTCTAGAAAAGTTCACGAGGTCCCTGGCTAACCAGTGTTTATAAAAGATTGCTGTTTAAAGCACTTACTCACCTGCATTACAAAACCAGATTTCTTTTATGAGGCAACTGGTTGTATAATTTTTATTGCTTGGATCTTATTGCTGAACCAAAGACAAAGGTTGAGTTTTCATTTAGACTTGCATAAGATTTGAGTTTGCTTTGGTTAACTAATAAAATATTAAACATTTTTGAGCAAATTCAATAAGGGTTTATCACATTGACCCTTCCAAGGGCAAGGCTAACAAGGTGCCAATACTCACTTTTGACAAGTTAAAACTGTAAATCCATCATCTTTATATTGAATACATTTAATATTTCTGAAATCAAAGCAAAAACTACAAGCTTCAAATGTCTTTAGGGTTTTAGATGTATTATGCTTTAAAAGGCACACTTTCAAACAGACTGAAACAGCTACCTGTTCCCCCTAGAACTCTCTTAGCTCATATATCTGCCAACGATATAACAAGAACTAGGCTATTTAGCAGAGGCAACAGAGTAACTATATTGCTGCTGGATACTATATGATCTCCTTTCAAACATGGTTGGGCAAATGAAGAGCTGACCAATGTGAATTTTGGCACCTAACAGAATGGCAACATGAGGCTTGCATGTATGTATATACAAGTTGAGCATCCGTCATCCAGAAATCTGAAATCCAAAATACTCCAAAATCCAAAACTGTCCACATGTGTTGCTAAGATGATGATGCCTTTACTTTCTGACAGTTCAATATACACAAACTTTGTTTCATACGCAAAATTATAAAATGACCTCCAGACCATATAAATGAGGTGCATATGAAATATTGATTAATTTCATGTTTAGACCTGGGTAGCATTGCCAAGGCATCTCATGTTGTGTATACAAATATTCCAAAATCTGAAAAGGTCCAAAATACAGAACACTTCTTCTCTCAAGCATTTCAAAAAAAGGGATGTTCAACTTGTAGTCGCAAACAAGCATACGACATGCATTTCAACTGAACACAAACATGCATATATCCATCTAATTTCTAATCTGTAAAATCAACACACTTTTCTGTCTGAGATACATATAATTTTGTAGTTAGGCACTGCACAAGCAAGTAATAAATCCTAAGACCTATCCTATCTGCTTGTGAAGGTAGGGCACATGATCACCTGAAGATGTGTTCCCACACTCTGTGTCTTCTGTGTACACAACTACTCCCTCTGACTACAAAATACTCTATCTGCAGATTCATAAGGGCTGACAGCTCCAAGAATCCAGTGGTCAATATGGCCATTGACTATGCTGGAAACTGTAGTCCTAAAAAGTAACTTTTCCAACTCTAACCAGCAGCAAGTCTGAACATATAAAATGTTACCCTAAATTGTCTACTAAGAGTGCCAGTCTAGACCCACTTTCCTATTAAGGCGTAGGCAATATTGAATTTAGCAAGGCATAACTTCTCAATAATTATGCTTGGAAACATAGCTACAAGTAAGTTATAGCCCGCAAATGCAACACTTCTTCTTTAAGACAGGGAGATTTGGCTGATCTGAACAATGACAAAACGATGTCCTTCTTCAAGATCACATGCAATGGGGTGTTCCCATTGAGAGGGCAATTTTGAGCTGTACCGTTCAGACTAGTCAGCACAAGATAAGGCAAAAGCACTGTATGTGAAAAGCTCTTGGGGTCAGGCTGCACATGATCCTGCAGATACATCTATATTATTCAGTCCACTGTTTTAAGTTCTAACAGAAAATAAGTCAGGACTTCAAGTCCACTTTTTCAAAAATGTGTATCTAATGTATCTAATTATCTCAAATAAAGCCAGGGCCACTGATAGCTGCTTGAAACTAAATATATTATTGCTTAGTTTATTGTAAAACTGCATCTAAGATTTGGAAACATCACTAGCATGTTTGTTTCTTGGTATGCATTTTAGTGCACCTTTGTGAGCCACTGTAATATAAAACTATGGACTTTGGGGAACAGCCAATCTTATTTTCTCCAGTATCTTTAGGAATGCCTATGATGGTAAAATGAGCCAATAAGAAAATGGTTTGAAAAAGCATACTGCGTTATCTGAACTAATTAAGGTGTTGGACACTTTGCAACAGGAGTAGGCATTATGAGGTCCTTCAGATGTTGCAGGGCAGCAATTCCAAGAATTCCTCACCTTCGACAAAACTGATCATGGCCGATGGGGATTTGCAAAACAACATCATCTGGAAGAATGTCCTGATTCCCACTGCTGCCTTAAAGAAATGTAAATTAATTCCTGAAAGGCAAATGAGGTGATGTTGCACCAGAGAGAAGTTGCACCAGAGAATCAACTTCTCTCTGGTGCAACATCACCTCATTTGGCAGTCCATCAGATAGACGTCTTTTAGAAGTTGTGTTATTATTCAAATCCAATATGCTTTTTTCACAAATACCTATATACAAAGGACATGATCTTTCCAGGGTTGCAAGCACAGGATCTTGTACAGAGAGTCTTGTGTAGGGTGTAACAGAAGCCTTTGTCCACTCTTAAAGACTTTAATTTCTCAGCTGAGATGAGACAAAGAGGATGGGTTATGGGACCTCCTACTATCTCAAACAGTTTGCATCCATGTATGTGCTCTGTGGTAGGAAATGCTATTCCTTATATTTTGTTATGCAAAATGTTTTTCCTCCATGTACAAGTGCCATACTGAAAGCAAACCGGACAAAACCCAATGTTTTAATATATAAATATGTACAAAACAAAAGTTAGAAAAATATTTAATTTTTGCAGTTTTAAATAATTGCTGGAAAGTGTTAATACAGGAATACATTAATATTTGTACAATTAAATTTTTTCATATATATAGATAGATATAAAAAGCATTTTCTTTTCATAGCAGCGTTTGCATTGCAAATGAAAAAAGGTGTCAAAATATGGCAGAACATGATCTACCTAGAGTTTGTGCTGCATGTAATCACAGAAGCAGCAACATTAATCCTCCTTTCCGGAACAACATCCGTATCAGGGCTAAAGTTTCAGGAACAAGGAGCACTGTTCCTATGTAATGTAGACAGAGATGATGCCTTGCATATCTTGCATAAACTGTCGAAATTTCTTAAGTGCATAGTACTGTGAAGGAGAAGGAGAAATTCTAGAATTGTTTGGCAAGTAATAGCACACCGTTTTAAACCCAGAGGGTCAAGCTGATGCCTTCTTCAAAAGAGAAGGAGGGAAGAGGGAAAGACAGAGCAACAGATGTGTAATGTGACTGCATTAACCCTTAACAGTGGATCCAAGCCACTGCACAATGACATTATTATACTTGCACCTGACCCAAGGTTGCACAGCTTCATCCCCTTTTGAGGGGAAAGGAGCAAGGAAAGAACCTACCAAGAAGGAGCTGGTGCAGAAGGCTATTAATAACGGATGTTGAGCTTGTTTTTATTGAGTTCCCGTTCCAGGTTTCCTATGAGGGTATCAATGCTCTCCTGCAAGTCTTTGAGGTTTACTCGGTGGTTCACAGCCGAGTCCATTGTCTGCATGGTCAAATAAGCCTGGAACGTCTGCTCTTTGGACGTGCAATTGGGCTGTTCAATCAGCTTCTCAGGAATATCAGCTTTGTTGCCATCGTCCCCACTTTCCGTATCCTCTGAAGGGACATCATCATAGTCTGCTTCGCTTAGGGCTTCCTTGGGGCTTGCAAAGTAACTCTCCCCACAACCACTCCAGTCTCCAGCATAGCGGTTACTTGAAGGGCTGTCTAGCCTGGCCGTCCTGGACCTCAGGATCCCAGACATCTCTGAACTGCTTAAATTCAACATCTGAGGCCGTTGTTTCTTAGGTCTCAGGTAATTCACTGAGGACTGCTGCTCAGCTGGTGCAGATTCTTTGGCGCCTGAGTGTTGCACTAAGACAAAGAACAGTTGTAATACATTAGTCGAGAAATCAACAGCACAGCATTTACTATGAATTCTCTCCCCTAGTCTCTTCACTACACAGCTTAGAACATGCACTTTATACATGCATACCTGGCAGCCAATACAATCTACTTCATTTGGTTTTGCCACTAGCCAACAGTCTTATATTAGGAGATGAAAAAAGCCTAATAGAAAAAGATCCTATTTTGAAACTACCATGCCTTAGGCTATCTGTAAGAGTCCATCAAACACTAAGGTGCCTTGATCAACTGTGCAAGTTAATCACAATCCACAACCAAAACACAGATCAAATAAGAGCCAAAGAGCTTCCACAGAAAGCAGGCACAGCAGGCAACATTAAACTAATTGTCAATGTAGTTATTATTCTAGAAAACTGCCCTTTTTTGAATCCAAATGTGTGCACAGCCAGCTGAAACTTCTCAATGTTTTTTTCTAAGCAGCCATTAACTCCAGGTCAGAGGGAGGAAAAATACACTTCAACACACATTTGGTATTTTTATTACCTGAACTCATGGTTTTTACAGCACAAGAAATTAAGTCTCTCTTCTTGTTACCGGTTTCCTACAGTAAACAGTACAAATGTTTTATTGACCAAAGGGTGCTGCATAGTTCAACGGTAATAGATCTTTGTCCTGTGGATAACTATGATGTACGTACTCTTAACCATATCCTTTTTGTTTCATTTCAGCAACATGACAGCTGCTTTATACAAATGAAAAAAATCACTACTGCTGCCCAGGAAGCTTAAATCTATTTATAGGTTTTGATAAGAGAAGGGGCAAAGGAAGGGCCTTCTAACAGATGGTTGCACAGAAGGCAATCATGGTCTCTTCGAAGCTGGAGAAGTTGAGCTCAATCCTCAGATCATAATAAGGGCAGAGGAGCTCCCTAAATTTTGTTACCGCTTGTATCGATACTGTTTCGAGATATCTGTGAGCGAGTGTGCTACAGTTTGGTGATAGTTGAAGTAAATTCAGGGGTAGAAATTGTAGATTTCACTAATCCTCTTTCCCAAAACTGTCTGCACAATTTTAGAACTGGGTGGGGTGGGTTAGTCCAAGCCTAGAAAATGGTATCTTCAACGTCATGAAGTTAGAAGATAATAAGCAGAGGAGGAATGGATCTTGAATGACATGAAGACCCTAGGAAGAGGGAAAGAGTAGGCTACAATAGGGGTGCAGGCTGATATTTCTTATTCAACCCATATACCTGCTTTTGGAGCTTCGGACATGGTTTGTGTGCCGCATCTGAAACTTACTTTTAACAGGGAGTCAACATGGTCAAACATAAGCCTTTACCACATACTTGACAAATACATTAGTAATCTGATGATTCAGTGCTGTATCTACCCACAATTTTCGGGGAAGGGGTACGCTTCCTATCATTTTCTAAAGTTGCATGTTCAGCCATTTGGCACTCATTTAATATGCTCTTTTCTTTAGTCAAGAACCCAAGAAAAGAAAAAAATATATAGCTTATTACAGTTCATATGTATTTTGTTTTTTTTAAATTAGCATTTAAACAAATCTGAAGAGAATTCACATTGAAAAGTGATTTATGTATAATTTAAAATATAAAATAAATAAATAAATAAATAAAATATACTCTCCTATGTTCCAAGTGAGGGCAAATGTCCTCTGTTTCAAAACTATTTTCATGACAATGTCTACTATTACATTTTATCACTATTTCAACTGTGGAACTTCTTCAAAAAAAAGAGGTCAGGTTAACTCTCATCTTTCTATTTCCAAGAGGATTATGATATTTCTCTATTTATGATAATTCTATTTCTCTCTCGTCCTCAAAGTGGCACATCGAATAAAAATGGACCTCTTGTTCAACAGTGAGTTCTTACTTGTGAAGGTGCTGTTTATTTATTTATTTGATGTATTTATACCCCGTCCTTCTAACCCCGAAGGGGACTTAGAGCGGCCTTATAATGGACAATAATTCAATGCCATGTAAAACAAACATATAATCGAATAAGGTCAAGGAAAAGCTTTCTCCCTGACATTAAGTCCAGTCATGTCGACTCTGGGGGTTGGTGCTCATCTTCATTTCTAAGCTGAAGATCCGATGTTGTCTGTAGACACCTCCAAGGTCATGTGGCCAGCATGACTGCATGGAGCACTGTTACCTTCCCACTGGAGCAGTACCTATTGATCTACTCACATTTGCATGTTTTCGAACTGCCAGGTTGGCAGAAGCTGGGGTTAACAGTGGGAGCTCATGCCACTCCCCGGATTCGAACCTGCAACCTATGAGTTAGCAAGTTCAGTAGCTCAGCGGTTTAACCCACTGCACCACTGAGGACTCCCAATCAAATAAACATATACATGAAAACATAGAATTAAAAACATATAAATATTAAAACAAATTATTAAAACAACACAATCTGAAATCATATTCCAGAAGCCATTCCAGTCATTACTGCACATATTCCAACTTTGCTGATTGCACTGTGTTACTATCCAATTGCTCGGTACCATGGCCATGTTCTTAATTTCTTCCTAAAGTTCAGGAGGGAGGGAGCTGATCTTATTTCACTGGGGAGGAAGTTCCACAGCAGAGGGGCCACCACTGAGAAGGCCCTGTCTCTTCTTCCCACCAGCCACACCTGCGAAGAAGGAGAGCAGGGCTTCCCTAGACCGTCTTAACCTCCGAGATGGTTTATAGAACAAGATACATTTGAACAGGTAAGCTGGGCCAGAACCATTGACTCTTCTTTTATATTTAAATTATTTTGTATCCTTTCAGTTACTAACAATAGAACCCAGGAATGTAGTGATGAGGACGAGAGAGAAATAGAATTCTTAATAAACATTTTACTCACCCTAACTTTCTAGCATTACAGTAACTTTAAAAGTCAGTTGAGCATTTAGAAATACAGTTTAGGTATTCAAAGCAAATGGGCAGGCAAAGTGAGCCAAGATAATGTGAGCATAGCAAATGTGAGAAATCTAAGGATGTTAGAAATTGGCGGAACGAAGGAAGATTTAATCTGGAGGGCAAAATCCTTACTGGGTGAGCAATGCTCTCATCCTTCCTCATCACAGCTTCAAATCTGTTTAAGCCATTGTGACAATTCTAACAGCCATCAACTGAAGGATATAATTTCATATTTCAAATAAAGTAATCAAAACATTAGTTATAGAAAAAACTTACAAAAAAATATATCAACATTTGTTGTAGTTTGCCAAGGAATCAAATCCTCCACATAACTAGGATGCCACAAGCTGGAACCAAACTTATGAAAGCGTTTATCCTAGCTACCACTTTCTGAGATGATCATGTGAGTAAGCTCTCATTTGAGCTTAAATGTCTCCCTGCAGAAATGAGTCTTACTAGATTTGTGGAAAGTCTCTTATTAGTCTTTCTGCTTATTTAATGAAAGCGGGGGAGGGAACCTGCACATCAACAAAAGTTCTTCTGTTTAGGCTTTGCTGTCTTAAGGCAAAAGGGTCATGTGTTAAACCTTAAGTGCCAGCTTTGTTATGCTTTTTGACTGAACAAGGATCATGTGTTTTCCATTTCTAAAATAAATAAAAACCTAAGGAGCTGAACTAGAGAGCAAGTGCAGTTATCAAGTTTTCCAAATCCATTGAGGGATTAATGCTGAAGAGCCCAGACTCTGGCTCCTTCAGAAGAACAGAGCTCTCTCTCCAATGTTTAATTAAATTTAATGAACTTCAATTTAATTAAAATGTTGAATCTTTAATTAACGTAGACTGCATGGTACCATGCACCCACAGGAGGTTCTGAAAATATCTCCTTTGTGACACTGTTTGTGGTTTGTGTTGTTATTTGTGGTCAGTAAATGAACAGTTACATTGAAGATTCCTTTCCAGAGAAAACCCTCTTCCAAATATTTCATTGTTTATTTATAATTACAATGCATACATCTTGTCAATCAGAAACACAAAGCTTATTCACTATACATCTTATCTTGGGAAAGCATGTGATTTCTTCCAACATCAGGAAAATCCCATATTCTTATTCCTAAACTGACAATCTAGCCACCATGAATGCAAAGATCTTGAGGGTATAGCTGGAGCAGACTTGTGTGCCTTCTCAACTACTTTCTTAAGAATGTAAGAGTAGCTATGCTGGAGGACTAGGCTCAAGATTTCTAACCAGACTATACCCAGAAGATTGGAAAGACCTAGCTTTGGAAAACTTCTAGGTGGAGAGCTCTGTTTGTAAGGGTTCTTTCTGAGAGGATTTAGGAATCACCATTATGGACTGAGTTATGAAGAAACAAGACATACAACAATAGAAGACAGTGGTAGAAGCTCCGAATATCAAGGGCAAAGACAAATAAGAAGACACATGAACATGAACCTCTTCAGAAGATGGACACATGGTGCTAAGAGCCTTGTTTGGAATACACTGTCAGTGGGGATGATTCATGACATTCAGATGTGTGGTTCTAGATGCGTTGGATACATACAGCTTTTAACTTCTGAACTTGGTTGGAATAATATCTTCCCTACCTGGAAAAGATCTTGAGAAATAGTGTGTTGCTAACACACAAAAAGACAGAGACCAAGAGCACACACTTATAATGTTGTTGAACACTGAGTGAACCCAAATGTGGATAGTAAAAAATAATTCATATAACTCTCATTTATATTGTTACACCAGCCAGTTGTACACAGTTACTCATTTCCTATTGGTATTGTAATGGAATTAGGAATCACTTATTTTATTATGCATCACAATGGGATTACCAGTGGGTAGAACAACGTTAATGAATACTTTAGATAGATTTTTAAAAACCTAATTGCCATCGTTGATGGCAAAACTTGGAATAAGATGAGATCAGCCCAGCTGACCTGCACATGCCACTGCCTTTTAACCCATTCTACCATTGATAAGTATGATCCATTTGTCAAGAGCAAATGGGAAATTGGCCATTCTCTTCTTTTGGATTTGAACAGCCAATTGGATCTCTTAAATCATGCAGAACATCATCCACTACAATTAAGCAATCTAATTAGCCTACTTTATTTGCTATGGTCACTTCTTTGGCTCTTCATCACTACCTGTAACAACCCAACTGAACAGCAATGAATGTTTAGAAATGTCACACATTAGAGGACTATGTGCAATTAAAGCATGCAATCCTTGTTTAGCTACCCTCCAGGTATTGACTGGGAGGGGAACTAAAACATGAGAGCAGGATTGAGCGAAGTGCAACCTTCTGTTTTTGTTGGATTATAGTTCACCTAGCATCCCTCACCAAGTTAGGGCTGATGGGACTTGTAGCCTAACATCTGGAGGAACACAGATAGTGCCCTGCCACCACAGAGCCTTAATCTTCTTTTTTACTTATCACATCTTTTGCAGATCATAAACAACCAGTAGGAGAAACAACTACTCTTGCCATTAAAAAAATTGCTGCTCTTCTTTTTATACAGAAATTCCAAAGGATTATTTCATAAATAATTCAAATAAAAATGAGGACATTATAGGACATAAAATGACCGGGGGGGGGGGGGGGGGGGGGGGGGTTCAATGCAGAGACTAAAGTTGAATTATAGTTCACGAGGAAGTTCAAACCTATCATCATAGTGACCCAAACAAAGATAAACAGAATTTTTATCCACCCAAGGATTTTACTGGATTACCAGTATGAAGAAGTCTGTATTATTATCACCAGCATTGCTTTTTGAATTATCATATCACTGCAATGATTTTAAATGTAAGCATCAGCTTGACTGTTACAGCCTACAATTTTGGATTTCAATTTCTTCTGAACTCCTAAATCAGAATATTTCCATCCAGCCACATTAACATGTGAATACATATATACATTTCACCTAAGGAATTTCATGAAACCAATGCAATGGGACTATGGACTTTGGGGTAAATTAGCTGATCTGTAAGATGAAGGTGCTTTGCTGTTTCTAATGCAATAGACTAATAGAGCTAACTCTCCTGGAAATAAAACTTGTTATGTGCAATAAGACATTTTACCTGGCCATAACTGGAGTAGGTAATGTAGGACCTCTATGTGTTTTTTGAAATCCAAGGCACTTGCAAGTTCTTCTGAATCAGTGAAAACTCTGTTGTTATGATTGGTTGTTTCCTGGCGCTGGCTCAGTAACACAGGCCCAAAACACACTGCTAAGTTCTGACAGGTCATTCTGTTTACTTCGTGGTACGAAGCCACCAATTTCAGATGGTCCAACAGCATCTTTAGAGTGGCCTTGAAACAAAAATAAAATAAAGTTTCATACATCATCATCATCATCATTATTCGAAACACAACAAGATGAGTCCACAGCAAACAAGATCATTCTGCTGGCTGTTGTATTGGATCACATATCAGACACTTCCCAAGTGTCTAGGACTGTGTGATGTATCAGCGAATAATGTGTGCAGTAAGGTGGTCTTTTGCAGCTGGCAGGTGGTAATTTTGTCAGCACTGATTGTGTTTAAGTGCAGGCCAAGGTCTTTGGGCACTGCACCCAATGTGCCGATCACCAGTGGGCCCACCTTTACTGGCTTGTGCCAGAGTCTTTGCAGTTTGATCTTTTCATCCTCAGCAGTATTGTGCTCCAAAACTCTGCCTGTCTGAATTCAGAAGTCCCAGAGTAGCTTGATGTGTTCATTCTCTGTAACCATTATTATTATTATTATTATTATTATTATTATTATTATTATTATTTATTTGTATGCTGCTTTTTTAACAGAAACTCCAAGTGGAGAACAGTGCTAAAAACAATGCATGTATATGTATATGTATAAGTGTATTTGGTGGGGGGGGGGTGTATACATACACACACAGAGAGAGATTCTTATCCTGTCTATAAGTCTACTGAAGTTGGTGAGACAACTTTATTTAGCACATGTAAATTTCTGAATGCTAAAAATGGATCACATGTTTTTTTTAAAGTATGAACCATTTTTATTTCTCCCACCTGTTTGAATTTTATACATATACATTCATTCATAAACATTCTGTATTAATGGTTATTTAACTGTAACTCCATGCTGCATAATGTATCCATTTTTCTGTGTTTGGCTATCAAAACTTTTGCAGAAGCAAGTATATTGAAGCTTCCATATTAATTAATGTTGCACTATACCAAAGTCAGGAAGTAACATACGTTCAAAATTATCTCTAAAGGAAGGAACAGTAGTGGAGATTTTAAAAGTTCCTTTTCAGATTACAATTCCCATGATTTCCCCCAGTTTTTCCCCAAGGTCTGATCAATAACTGTATCAAAACTTTAAGCAGAAATCACAATGTTAGATTTTATATATAGTATATTAGATTAGATTTAACCTTAATAACCATTGTTTAGCACGAGCGGCACCAGGAGCAGTGTGTAGGAGCTTTGGGAGCACAGAAAGCCAACTGGTAAAGTCCAAAACTGAAGCTATAATTACCGGAAATAGGCCTCTGGGATTTAAAGTAAGAGTCTTTCCCAGTCCTACCTGGACCTGTTGCATTTTGAACTGAACATAGGGTGTACTGACAAGAGCATGGAAGACTTGCAAGATTACAAAGTAAATAAAATATAATGTTTTCTCTTTAAGATGCCCATCCCAGACTTAAAATCTACAGTACAATCCCATCCCAAAGGTAACAAGGAAAACAATTTGATGTTGGTGTTAAGTAACACCCATCTTTAATTTAATACTTGGCTAATGTCAAGTAGCAATGAATTATTAACATTCTCATCTTAACCATGTTTACTTGGAAGCAACTCCCATCGATTTCAGTGGAATTTGCTGTTAAAACGTATGTTTAGGACTGAAGCCAAAGCAGAAGGATGAGGAAAGTGTAGGATGCAGAGGGCTCATAAGTGGTCCTTTCTCTGGGGCTCTGGAGTCAAATAACTGAGAAAAAGTTGCCTCTGTCTAGCTCCCTGTCTATAAAATGGGACGGCGAGTTCCTTTTACCAGAGCCCTTCCGGAAAGAAGGTTAGAATTTCACACTGCAATAAAGTATGTGCTGACGGCATGTAAAATTAATTAAGCAACAGCTTTCAGACAGAGGTGCCTGAAAATTATAGCTGGGCAGAGGGAAAAAGTCACCATCTGGGAGCTTATCAAGTCAATAAAATTATTTTCCCTGAGATATCCAGGACAAGCACATGACTGTTGACTGACGGTTAAATAATCACTATGTTCCACTTTGCTCAAAATCAATTTGTGTTTCCACCAACAAAGCTGAATAAAACCTTTTTGTTTATTTTTAGTCATTCACATTTTACAGACAGTGCACAATGCCATTCAATTTCAAGAACATTTGAGAATGTACTGCTTGCTATGTGAGGCAAGCATTTATTGGTTGCACATGACTAGCCAAAGTTGAGGTGCTTGACAAGAATCGAAAAAGGGGCACAGACGTCTAAGGTGATCTTATCTTTTAACCCACTGAAGAGGCAAGTCACTATTCTTTTAGCAGCTCCACTCTTTAATATAGGGGACTGTACTCCAGAAGAAGGCTGTCTCGAAAGTATTCCTTCCTGAGAAAACCCTATGAAATTCATGGGGGTCACCATAAGTTAAAAGGTGACCTATGCATCAATGGCTGCTTCTGGAGCCAAGTATAGCCCCAAACAAATTCTTATAGCTACAGAGGAGAATACAAGTGAAAGAATAATAAATAATTACAGCTTGCAATTGAGTTTTCTGAATGAGTTGTATCTTGGTAAATGTGGGTTGAAGTTTTCACTATTTCATATCAAGAGGAATTCATCTATTAGAAAAGGCTTGTGCTTCCCTGGGCATCACCAGGCTGATTTGCCTACATCCTGCAGCAATGTTTGTAATCACCCCATTGTAAAATTCGCATAGCTCATTAGTGAGGCCACATGGCTCAATTATAAGCAAAGCCAAGAGAAAGATCTGACAATCAGTTGCAACATTCACACTGGCCTCAAACAGACAAGAGTTCTTTCTCCCACCCTGGACATTCCACAGATATATAAACACCACTTGTCTAGTCTCAACAAACCTCACAACCTCTGAGGATACCTGCCATAGATGTGGGTGAAATGTCAGGAGAGAATCCTTCTGGAACATGGCCATATAGCCTGGAAAACTCACAGCAACCGGGAAGATCTGACATTTTGTAAGCTATCAACTATACACCAACAATACTTACCTTCTCAACCTCTGGGAGGCAGTCTAAGAGAGCCACTGTATGATCAGAATCACTAGGGTCATTCTCACATCCATTGGCTATCATTCTCAAGGGCTTTTTCCCCATGGCATCCAAAACGGCTTCATAAAGTTGTTTGGTTATCAAGGGAGAAGGCAACTCTCTTAAATAATCCTTGAGAACACCTTTATAAGAAATGCAAACAAAGGGCAATGAATATAGTAGAAAGTCATACACCAGCATGCAACTATGTATGCAAACAGGATCCATATGCAGAGAATATATGGCAGAGCTTGGAAAAGATATTCAGGAAGGTATTATAATTCCAGCTCTCCAGACATTGTGTAGTCCAAAACATAACATTTCCAGGCTCTGATGCGAGAATGTCACTTTAGGCGCTCCAAGAAACACCACAAGATCTCAAACCAGGAATATGACCAGGTTTCTTTTTTTGCTCACTACCAGATCCTGCAAAAACAAACTACCAAACTGAAAAAAAAGCCTCTAATTCTTTATTTTATTTCTTTGTAGTGGAAATTCTGTGTGCTTATTGATGGAATACAATAAATACCTGAAAATTACTTAAGGTGGTCAGCTTTCATAACAGAAGAGTGTTTGCGATTTCAAGATCTATGTTTTATTAGTCAGAATGCAATAGGCAAGGTACTATAACATGCAAGACTGAGAAGCGGAATTCTTCCAAAATGTCTAAAGGTGGGCATATTTTGCAGCTAAATAAAACCGCAGGTATCGATCCCTCTGGCTTAAATGTGACAAGAGTCACCGATATAGGGGAGCACGAAATAGGTGATTCTTCCACCAGTGGTCTGAAAAGGCTAAGTCAATGTTATCACCATGTTCCGCTGCCTGCCAGGTCAGATCTAAGATACTATATGCTACAGAAATATAGTGTTGTGCTTGTGGAATAGGATTGGATCCAGGAGCCACTGTGCATTCTTCGAGAACACCTACTATTGGCAACTATTGATCTCCCCCATTGGAGTTGACATTGCTTCATTGAGTAAGTTTAAGGAACAGATAAAAGTTGGTGCCCACTGAGCCAAACCCAATTATGTTCTAACACAATAAATGTTTTCCCTTCTGACAGAAAACTAAAACAGAAAACAAAAATGCACATGCAAATACTTTTTAAGACAATAAGAAGTCAAACAAAAGCAAGTTTCATGAGGTTAGGTGGAATCCGTGGCATTAATGTACCTATGGCAAGAATATTTTAGATCTCATGCACATAACACATGTTAAATATAGAAGCACACTGAGTCCAAAATAAAGAGAAGGAAATTCACTGCCAGTGAACTCTAGTGCTTTGATTCATGGGAGCACACTAGGGAATTCTAAGAACCTCAAGAAACTAGAAATCCCAAGATTCTGCAAGATGGAACCATGGCAGTAATAGAGGCACTGAACTGCTGCAATAATGTAGTTCTTATACACTCTCACTTTGAGAAACCTGCGTGAAATAGCTTGGGTGAAATAAGCCACACACTGAAACAAACTCTACAACTCAGACTTTGAACCACTCCATCACTTGTTACGTTAAAAATACACCGCTTTTCCATCCATAATCTATATTTTGTGCTACATAATATCCAAGCAACTAACAATGATCAAAATCTCAGCTCCTTTTTAATTAAAATACCTTTCTATAGTTCATCCAGCTAGGCAAGCACAACCTGCACTTTAATAAATGGCATCATTTAATGCAGACCGAAAACAAAGAGTGGGAAGTCAAGATACCAATTTAAGTATCTGCCAAAGAAAGGACCTGTTAATCCCCAAACCATGACAGAAATACCACTGCTGAGTGTTTTTTAACAAAGCAAGACTTGTTACGAGCCTCAATGTGCCTACCACAAATCCTGCCCTATGACCCAACTGTAATGTGAACTGTGTTAATTGAAGATGTTGTTAAGAGCAAAATCCTCAACAGCAAAGCAAGGGATTCTCTCTTCATTCCTTGGTGGAGGAGGAGGGGGCTCAAAATATCCCTCGACTGTGTGATTTCAGACTGTGTGATTTCAATGTCAAAGAATATTGGCCCCAGTCAGAATGGAAAGGCTAATTGTATAATCACAACATGACAGTAAGCTGCTCTTCTTGTACTTCCCAGCCACAAAGAGGCCCAGAAGACTTAGATCTAATACTTGAGACTGGAAACCCAATTGGTAAGGGATGTTAGTTTACTGGTTGTTTGCAAACCTAAGGACTACATTATTTCAAGCCAAGGGAGTTCACAAATTAATATAATCTAAGATGTCCAGGTGGGGCAAATATATTGTATCTATTCCTGTTTGGGTTTTTTCCCCCTGTTTGTTTACAAAATATTACAAATGTAATTTCTACTATTTTCTGACAATCCCCAACCTCAGTGCCACATTTTATTCTCACTCTCCAATGGTTTTTTTCCCCCAATTCCCAGGCACATTGGTACAAAAATGTATTATTGTACTGTGTTGTCGAAGGCTTTCATGTCCAGAATCACTGAGTTGCTGTGAGTTTTCCAGGCTGTATGGCCATGCTCCAAAAGAATTCTCTTCTGACATTTTGCCCACATCTATAGCAGATAAATTCCCCCAGGCAGGAAGCAGCCAGGCTTTGAAGCTGCACGGTTATTCAATGCTAATCAAGCTGGCCAATTGCAATATTCACACTCGCTCCCAACAGACAAGAGTTCTTTCTCCCAGCCTGGACATTCCACAGACATATAAACCCCATTTGCCTAGTTTCCAACAAACCTCACAACCTCTGAGGATGCCTGCCACAGATGTGGACGAAACGTCAGGAGAAAATGCTTCGGGAACATGGCCATATAGCCTGGAAGACTCACCACAACTCAGTGTTTCTGGCCATGAAAGCCTTCGACAACACATGTTTAAAGGCACTTTATGATGTGATTTTTAAAAGCAAAGTTTTGGCTTGGACACTTTGTGTTTATAGGCCTGGAAAACTCACAGCAACCTATTCTTGTATTCTTTTGGATTTTTAAAAAAAGTGAATTCTTTCAGTACAGCCCCTTCTGGTTTGCTGGAATTTCCCAACCACTTATTCCTTTTTTTTAGTAGGTTTTAAAAAATTGATTTCTTAAATCTATAATGAGGCTTTTCTAAAGGGTTTTGATTATTTATAACATCAGAACATGGGTTGCTGAGATAGGAATACAATATTGCAGATGCTGCTGGGAATTGCCAGAAAATAGTCTGGCACAACAGAAATTTGGCTATTTTCTTTTTAGAAACTCTGAGAACTACAACAACAAACACTGCAACCTCTTCATACATTTGCTTCATCTGAAGGAGTTCTTTCTCTTCTTCTTTTTCCCTCTTCTAAAACTTTTTGAAATAGAAAACAAGATGGAAAATTGTGGCCTTTCAAACCATAGAATCACTTCAGCAAACAACATGCTGATTTTCAGAAGGGGAAGAAACCAGGAAATGTATAAAACCAACAAATGCTCTGAAGAGCATTCTAAAGAATGAAATGAGTGGATGCAGTAGCAAAATAACCATCAAAACCCAAGGAGCTGTATGGTGAAAACACACACTTAAAAGCCAGTTAAGAAGTGCCCCAAGCCAACCAAATTTATCTTGCAAATTATGGGTTTTGGAAATGTTGCAAAGGTGAATAAAGAACCGCAAGAAAAGTACCACCATCATTCCAACAAAAATAAAAATATGTTGTGTAAACAATTCTGCAAATAAATATTCAAGTGGGAGGAAAGGAATGTCTCCTATATTTTCGGAAGCACTATTTGAGACCTCTATTAATAGCATCGACATGGAGCTATGCAATCAAATCACCTGGTATTTCCTTTTCAAAACACTTTCTCCTGCTTAATTCCCAAACAAAATAACTTGTGAGCCCTCTGACCCGCCCCTCACCCCCAAATCCTTTTACCAACTGAGCCCTGTAAGAGATGGCAGTTATTTTTATGGACTTGCCTCTCCTGACAGCTGCGTTTTTCTTGGTACAACCATTGTCCACTCAAAACTAATTTAGGCAGCAAGCTGAAAACACATACCTCCCCCAATCCACCTCATTAATTTCTCATTTTTCTGACCCGCTGAACTGTTAACTGTATGATATGCTTCACTCTAAGAAGAGAGTTCACATGGCTGGGAGCAGACATGATGCAGCAATATCAGAAGCCCGGCAGCTTCCAAATCCGGCAGGGTGCATTATCCCAAATCACATGCACAGTTAATTGCGTGTAAGCCAGTGCCAGCCAAAGGGGCATTTCGCAGTCAAGGTTTAATAATTAAATGTGCATTCCTTGACCAACTGGGGAATTTCCAAAACAAAGCATGCCTTGAGAGTTGGTGTCTCTGTGTGTATGAATGCCACAGCCAAACTAAAATTTTAAAAAAGAAAAGAAAACATCACCAAGCAAGAAGCAGCAAAGAGTTGTAATATTAAATTCATATGTGTTCTCTTAGTAATTTATGCATTAGCTTCAGCACTAAACTTGTGCCGATCCATAGCCCACTCATTTCGCTCACACATATCTTTCTCTTTAAGCAAGCCTTTGATTTTTAATCATATGGCAATAAGGCATTTCAAAGTAGTATATTTTGTTTTTGTTTCTGCCTTTTTAATTATGTTCTAAACACATTTATAACTGTATTTAAGCACTCATTTTTAATTTTTTTTGTTACTTTTGTAAAACAAGGTTTCGGAAAAACCTTTAAAGTATGGTAAGCTGCTTTGGGCCCCATTCTGGGAGAAAAGCAGGGTATAACCTAAATAAATAAATAATATATAAAGTTCTGTTTAAGTCTACAGAATAAATCATACAAAAATAGACTTTGGGGGATTAACAATTCAATCACCATACACAATCCACACATTGGATTCACTGGATTATATCAGTTGGAAGGCAACTTTTAAAAGAAGAATGGAGAATATCCCAGTATAGCAGCTCACCATGCTGCTATACTGGTTGGAGAATTCTGGAAACTACCTTTCAAAGCAGAACCTTTTCAAACATAGATACTGCACCATGTTTTATAGAAATCACCTGTCTGCTATTTTCAGGCACTCTCAAACACAAAAAGCATAGCTTCAAGTAGTATACAGGCAGTCCCCAAGTTATGAACAAGATAGGTTCTGTAAGTTTGTTCTTAAGTTGAATTTGTAATTGGATTTTGAAAAAAAAATCACTTGTTGTGGAAACAAGGATTGGTAAGGAAGCTTCAGTGGAGACACCTTTTCCTCATGATGATTCTTCCAGGAGTGAGTTTCCTTTGTGAAGAGTAAATTTCTCTCCCTTTCTGTTGTCTCATCCCTATTCTTAACTATGAGTGGTATGCAAGTCAAATGTTTGTAACTTGGAGACTGGTTGTATAGATTAATATAAGGGCTAGAAGGCTAATTAAAATTAGGTACATTCACGAGGGACTGACGGATTAATGTTTATATTAGTCGTGTTTGGAATGAACATACTTCTGAATACCAAATACTGGGGCACACAAAGTAGAAGGTCTGTTTGCTCTCATATCTTATTTTGGTATGGGAAATGTGTGTCTCTTTTCATGCCATTGGGATACAACTCCCAACATCCTTAACTGTTAAATATGCTGGATAGGATTGCTGAGATCTGTAATGAAATATGATTTGTGACCCCTACTCTTCTTATAAGCTGATATTTTTCAAAAGCTGCACCAGGCTGGCCACAGTTGCAACCAGGTGTTGGACACAGTGGACTCTTGGTTTTATTCTACAGGGTTCTTCTAACATTATCACTCCTCTGCATATTATAAAAACAGAAGTGAGGTCCACACACAAATAAAAATAGCTGTGCAGGCTCAAATTAAAAGGGGCAAGATTACAGGAGGCATTCTCCTTGCAAAACAGCTGTAATTCAAGTACTGCTACTTGAAAGACTGCACCTCACAGGAAATTCCAATCTTGAGATTTATAATAATCCAAAATGAACAAGGAGAATAAGATAGGAATTTTCCATTTAAAAATGGAATCTAGAAGTACTTTTATTCAATAATTTGAAAACTTAAAATTAAAATGATATCAGATGAGACTCAAGGTATTTTCAAAGATAGTTATAGGGCTCATCTACCCAGGACACAGGTGTCAAGGCAGGGGTAAATCAACTTCATGGCGTCCTCATGATGCACAGGGACCTTTGCCCAAAAGCCTGCCACGGCTATATCAACATTTTTAAAAGTGGCTGGATGCTCTATAGCCAGCTTCTTTAACTTGCAGCCCTCCAGATGTTTGGGTCTCCAACTCTCAGAAGCCCTAGCCAGCTTGTTCAATGGTAAGGAATTTTGGGAAGTGATGTCCAAAACAACTGGAAGGCTGCAAGTTGAAGAGACCTATCCTAGAGCTTCCCCAAAGCTTTGAAGCTTGCCTGTACTTAATGATAGTGTGAACAGCTGTACTGGTTCATACTTGGAATAGGCCACAGCTGTTCATATGGTCATCTTGCTTTCCCCAAGTGTGAGTGGTCTGGGGTCAGGTGACTGTCCTTGGCTTAGTGCAACAACTGGGGACAAAACTGGAGGTGGCCATCACATCCACAGACATTGGCCAGAGTGACAAAGTGATTGGAGAAGGGATGGGGGAAGATGAGGGAGCAATTCTTCTTTTATCTCTCCCTCCCTCTCGTTATTTTGACATTGCAGCCAGTATCAATGGTTCCAAAGAACAATGACGATGGGTAGTTTCAGGCCAAGTGGTCACTGCTAAACCAAGGAGGGGAGGGTAAGGGTGGCGGTCCAGCAGCACTGAACTGAGCTTGGCAAATTCATGCTCAGTGGGTTCTACTAAATCAAGGATTAGATAGAAAGGTTAAGTGTAATGGTCCAGCAGCACTGAACCAAGTTCAGCACTGCTGGGCTGTGTATACTCCATCCAGCCACTGGGCAGCTCAGTGCCATGCTGCTGTCTATGCAGGCTCCTTGGGTGCTCACCCAGAGAACCGCACTCTGGATCATCACTGATGTACATAGTTCATGTAGGTGGGACCTAAGTCACCTGAATCACAGATAACATTTAGCATGCTGAACACAGGATCCTGTAAACTGTTGCAGCATGGAGTGCTTCTATTCAGAACTGCAATCACTCCACTCTTTTCCATTCCCTTCCCCACCCCATTTTTATGCTCCAACAATCAGCCAGCATTCATACACCACTTTTTTATCCTATCATAGTCCCCCCCCCCCCCCCCCCCCCGTTCAAGAATGGGTTAACAGCTGAAGCAGAGAGAAGCCTTCCCTCAGGCAGCAGATGCTGGGAACAACAGTGTTAGCACACTTGACATAGTTCCTGCACTCCAATCAAATACTGTCTACTTGTCTTGGCCTCCTTAAGTCATCTGAGATTTTCTGTATAGGAAAACACTGCAGCATTTCCAGTGAAGTGACACTCTAGTGGCAATCTAGATGACTTTGGTACATTGAATGGAGGTTGATGGGCAGAAGGATGGTCTTTGTTCTGTGTATTTTAATATATTCAATATATTTTAATATATGCATTTTAATAGTATTATATTATCTGTGTGTTTTAGCCATGTTGTACCCTGGCTTGATGTGAAAGATAATGGATTCCCTTGGATCAGAAAGCCAATTGTCCACTGTCCCAATGGTACAAGAGTGAGAGTGATACATATACTTGTTTAAATATACTTCAACAGACAAAGGTATGTGTGTGAATACAACAGTTTTACATGAAGAGGAGTACATTCATCTGTTAAAAGAGAGAAATAATGGAAGTTTCTTTAACAAGAAAGAATACTATTCATATATGAACATTACAACCTCTTGTGAAGAAGAGTATATTCATCTTTACAGAAAGAAATAAGTATATCCATTAAATTGTGAATGCAACAGTCTTATGTTTCATTGTACCCTGGCTTGAGCCATGAGGAGATGCAGATAACAAACAAACAAACAAATATGTTATTATTGTCATTACCTTTTGCCTTGGGTGGCAAAAGGTCTTAGGCTGACCTTGATCTTGGAAAACACTGAAATAATCTAGAAACATTCTAGAAAATAGCCACCTCTATTTTTGCTATCTTTTTTGCATAGAATCTCTCTTTCTAGTCGTTTCCATGGAATAAGATGTAAAATTAACCAGCAGATCTCAAACAGTACCACATTATACACAGGAATAGCTAGGGTACTTTGGAATAGCTAGGGCACTTTGAGGAGCCTGAAAAAAACAAAATACAGGCAGTCCCCAAGTCACAAACAAGATCATTCTTTAGTTGAATTTGTTTGTAAGTTGGAACAGGTACATTTTTAAAGTGTAACTTCATCTCTCTCTCTCTCTCTCTCTCTCTCTCTCTCTCTCTCTCTATATATATATATATATATATACACACACACACACACACACACACACACACACACGGAGGGAGGGAACGCTTGGGATACAGGAAGATTTAACATCCTGTGGCGCTTGTTTTGATATCTGTGCCCCCGTTCAGGAAATTTCATCTCAATTTCTGTCCCAGCAATTATTAGATTTTGAAAATTTTGGCTTGTGGAAACAAGGAGAGGTGATAATGCTTCCGTGGAAACACCTTTTCCCCATGATGATAACTCTTTCAGGAGTGAATTTCCCTTCTTAGGAGTAGATTTCTCTCACTTCCTGTTGTTAGCCCCTGTTCTTAACTAAGAGTTGTTCGTAAATCGGATGTTTGCAACTTTGGGGCTACCTGTATATAATGTGGTACTATGTCAGGAATTTCACAATGGTATGCACCCAGTTTTTATTTATTTTATTATTTATTTAAAACATTTATATTCCACCCTTCTCACCCTGAAAGGGACTCAGGGCAGAGCACAGCATATACATGGCAAACATTCAATTTTTGTGGTGGAGGGAAAAAATGTTTTTCCCTCCACCACAGATGCCATGGGAAGCAATGACCTTGCTTTTAGAAGGTAATGTAGTAATAGTGCTAATAAGAATATCAATACTAATAATTTTTAGTCTAGAGTAGAAACCAGATTATTAATGCTAATGGCAATAAAATGACCCAACCAGCATTAGGTTATTGCTTTAAGGATTTGCTCATACGATATTGGACTTATGTCTCAATTTTGTATCATTAAAATTAAAATCATCTTTTTCAAAGGGACATTCTGGACATTTTAAGTATACTATATATTCACTTCTCCCTTAAAAAGCAAATCCATTACCTGTTATCACATTTATATCTGGGTATTGGGTTTCACAGAGAGTAACAGCTTTGCTATCTTTTTCAAATGCTTCTCGGAGTTCTTTCTTGACTGCTGCTGAGCCACATAAACGGTACAGGCCTACAACCTAGGAGCAAAATCATAATTTTACCACACAGTCCCAGTTTTTGGACTAGAAAATGCAAAAAACTGTAACTCAAATATCAAGTTAAAATACAGTTTTAAACATGCCTAGCAGAAGGACCAAGATGTGAGCACAAGAAGCTGAAAGACAAACATTAAACATCATTCTCTGCTGTCTTGAGAAAAAGAAAATGTAATTAACAATGTTGAAGCATACTAATGACTTTAAAACAAAGTAAATTAAAATAAGACAATGATATATTGATATAATTATTTGCATCTACATATAGACTCCACCAGTCAACATGAACCCCCAGGAGAATCAGATTGAGGCTATTTACAACTAAGAGGGTTGAAACAGGGAAAACATACGAAGTAATAAATAAAGTACAAAGAACAGGTATTTAAGGTTCATTCTAGGTCAAAACCTGTTTTTAAAATTAACAAAAAATTAGATCACAAAATAATAGGGTGTAACGTTTTGTTGTTTCATGGCAACGGTATCATTTCATCTCCAAGGTCTTTCTAGAGAGCAATTTGTTCTACAACTACATGCTCCAGTGCTAATGAGAAACTGAAAAAGAGATGCGGCAAGGAAGAGGTAGTTGCCATGGGCAACTATATATAACAAACAATAATATCTTGCATGGAGCTTGCAAATAACTTCTCCTCTCCCCACATTGCCTGCCTGCTACTGGGTACAAGGAAACCTCCATTAACCAAGTAGATGTGTTTCTGGCTATTTACTTCTTTAACAGAAAATCTGGTAACAGAAGCATAAATAGGATTAAAAGAACAGGGATGCGTTTCTACACAACACAAAACAAGTTTCAACAACATTTTTTAAAAAATTAACAATATACAGAACATCTTATGCCAGTGGTGTAATGGGTTAAGCCCTTGTGTCGGCAGGACTAAAGACCGAAAGGGAGAGCACAGATGAGCTCCCTCTATCAGGTCCAGTTCCCCATGTGGGGACATGAGAGAAGACTTTCACAAGGATGGTAAAAGATTTTTTTAAAAAAAAACACCCGGGCATTCCCTGGGCAACGTCCTTGCAGACAACCAATTCTCTCACACCAGAAGGAACTTGCAGTTTCTCAAGTCACTCCTGACATGAAAAAAAATCTGGACATGAAACAAACAGGTCAGGTATGCCTTGCAAAAGTAAAAACACCTCTAGCAACTACTTGATGGCCCCTTCCAAAATGTACTCAGGAATGACTTTTTCTTTCACTTACCATCACTTTTCTTGTAATTTCTATTTCATTGGCCATACTCATATATCTCTGTGTTGTTGTTTTTGATCATATTCGGGTTAACTGGCAACGTAGGTCTAGCTCCACCTTTCTCTCACTGCCCACACGTGAGATTTCAATAGAGGATTTCTGGAGTTACCTATTTACCTTTCCTGTTGTAATCAAGCTGCACTAGGATTGGCCAGAGCAGAATCCCCACTTTTTCCCAGCTCAAGCTTCAGGAACCATCTACACTGCAGATTTATAGAAGGGTGACGCCACTTTAATTTCTATTGCTCCATACTATGGAATCCTGGAATTTGTGGCTTGTTAGAGAACACATGAGCTCTCTAACAAAGAAGCTACAAATCCCAGAAGCCTATAACATTTAGCCATGGCAATTCATGTGGTGGCAAACTGCTATACTTTTACAGTGAATCCTTTACAGTAGATATACTAATGCAACTTCCCCAAATCTCCTTCAAATGCTAATGTTGTTTTAAAAAATCCTTCCAATTAGAACGATGAGGAGGAAGGGAAGAGGGCTGTATAAGTTTAAAATACTTTGCAGAAAAAGAATCAGTAGCTAAGCCTCTGTATTTGGGGAAGCAAATGTACCCCTTGCACCTCAATACGGGCCCTTGGGTCATCCACTGCATACGTTTTTTTTAAAATCACTTGCTATTCACATAAATAGCATCCTTTCCAATTCAGTCGAATGCCATCGATAGACTCTTCATACTCAAAATAATATTGTAAATCTAATGATAAACAACTTGAATCTTCTATCTGTTCATCCAGTTTAGACATGCTGAATCTGACTGATTCTGAGTTAAAGAATACTTTCCAATAGGACTCAAATAGATTTGAACCTAAGAATTTCCCAGAAGAAATGAAAAACCTCCATTGGTCTTTTATGAGATTTCATTTAGTATCTGGGAGACAAAAATGTTTTTGGGCATCATGATTTCAACATTTTTACATGCTGCGGGCTGTTTAGATGGGATGCAAGTCAAATAAATACAGCATATGCATATGTTACCTAAGGGGGTGAAATTCAATAACTCCAATTTGCATAGATGATCCAATAAGCACTGATAGCAATTATATTCTTCAACTTATGTAATGATGGAACAAAACATACAAGCCTGCCCTGCAAGTCATTTCTCCATCAAAACTCTTTACTACTATTTCAATTTCCACACTGAGACCTTAAAAAACTAGCTTTTCAGTTTTGTCAAGAGCAAGATCAGGTGGATTTCATGTTCGTAGATACATTTGGGATATTTAAGAGAATGCTTTCCCCAGAGACAAAATATTGACTTAGACTGGATCTACACTGCCAAATAATTCAGTTTCTGAATCCAGATTATCTGTTTTGAACTAGATTATTTTGAATCTACAATGCCATATAATACAGTTTAAAGCAGATAACCTGGATTCAGAAACTGGATTATATGGCAGTGTAGATGGGGCCTTAGGCAGCAAAATCAACTAGATACTGTATTTCTTGAACCATACACTGCCATGCATAGCAGTGATCAAGGATTCTAATATGACCTTAATATTGAAGCAAATTCTGGACAAAGCAGGCAATTAGGCTTCCTGTTTTACAGATGAAAAACAAGGATAGTGAGAAAACAGCAGTAACTACAAACCAATTATTGATGAGATTTTCGTCCCCCAACTTTCATACTGGAAATCAGAGGGAGGTTTGGAAAGCTACTCGAAATTGCCAGAGATCTAACAACTAATCTACTGTATGTTCCTGGGTCTAGATAAGCAAAAGCCAAACATTTTTCAACTACTATTTCCCTATACTAGATTTCAAAGTCTTAAGGGCCAACAGAAAATTAGCAAACACAGCAAATGTTTTGACCTCCTATAAAGTGCCAATTCTTTTAATCATTTCTCCATTTTATACAATAAAGACAAACCATGCTCTGAGAAAAACACGACAGTTTAGTCAGACCTTACACAGGGTAGGCAATTACATAACACCCAAATGATGAAAGTGGAGGGATATTAGGTGTACTCAACAAAGATATGACATTACTTGTAACATATATATGATACAGGTTGAGCATCCCTTATCCAAAATCCAAAAGTCCAAAAGACTCTAACATCCAAAATTGTCCACATAGGTGGCTGAGATAAATAGTAGCACCTTTGCTTTCTGATGGTTCAATGTACAAAAACCTTATTTCATGCACAAAATATTGTATAAAACTATCTTCAAGCTATGTGTATGATATGTATAGGAAACACATGAATTTAGAATTTAGATTTGTGGCCCATCTCGAAGATATTTCAATAGGTGCATATATTCCAACATTTAAAAAAATCCAAAATCCAAAACACTCTTTTTGATCACAAGAATTTTGGACAAGAGAGACTCAACATGGAAAGGCTTCTAACACTGAACATGAAATACATAAATAATAATATAGGCATTATTTCAAAACCCATCTCTACCTGACAGCCTCTTTTTTCAATCTCCATAATACATTTCTTCATCAAGAGGGGTACCATCAAGCCTACGTTTTCCTTCTCAACCACTTTCCGAGCTTCAATCCCAAACATTACTGGCTCTTGCTCTCCATCTAGTCCATTGAGAGAGTTTTCCCACTGCTCCAGAAGGGTCAGCTTGACATAAATTAGCCCCCTAGGCTCCAACTTGACTGCCAGCTGATGAGTCCTTGTCACTCGAAAAAGAGCAGGAAGAACCACCGTACCATGGCAACAAACTCGGTTTTTCCTTGGCATGGGCTCCCAACTGAAGACCACCAATTTCAAATGCTGTGCATTTTCTATCTCTATGTTGAAAGTGTGGTCCATGTCCAGAAATGTTGTCCGGCATGTAAGCAAGGCAGTCCTCGCTTTATTAACTGAATCTACTTGGATTGCACAAAATACATCTTTGGAGTCCATTCGAGGTGGTTTCAAATCCTCTGCACCATAGAAGTGAATGCTCATGAGTCCAGATATATACTGGGAACATTTAGGTTGGTCAGAAAAACTATAGTGCCTAAAAGCATCTATGTCAATGTCTGTCTTGTTGCCATTGCTGCTTGGGAATCCTTCTTTTCCTTTCCCAGCTCTGCCTTCACCAGCATGTTTCCCAGATTTTGCTATAAGCTCAGGAGAGTCTCCATCGCTGAGGTAGCCCCCTTTGGAGGATGATTTGGAACTCCTGTTGTTTTTCTTTTTGTAGCTATGTTGGGAAGATACACTGCTATCAAGATGATATCGACTTATAACGTTCCTGCTAGCAGCAGCAGCCAACATGTTCCCAGATGAAGGTAATGCTGCATGGCCCATGTCCTGGCAATTATGTTTGAGCAACGAAGGATTGTCCGTACTATTATGGCTTGAATTTCCTTTGACACTCAGCTTCCTGCTGAGCTCAGGCAACTTTTTCATTTTCATGGAAAGTTTCCTCACTGTTCTTGGGGATTTTATTTTATCAGGGAAAGACCAGTTTATTGAACCACCTTTTTTCAAAGGGTTAGGACTCGGAGGCGAACATTCGGCTGTTGCTGTGTCAGGTTTGCTTGAAGACACTACTCCGTATCCTTTGAAGAAAAGAAAGGAATACATTTTTTAAAGAACACCACATTCAAAATGAATACGAGAATACTTTAAAACCATAAGGCTTGCATGCCTGGAAAAGTACACATGCTATTCAGTAAGATGCTGAGTAGCAAGCTTTATCTACCCAAATTTTCCTGTGAACATTATTTTGCAGAAAAAGCAGGCAAAGAAAAGCTCACTTACTGTTTCCTTAAGTAACTGTGCATGACATTAAAAATCCTCAAGTGAAATTTAAATAAATCAATCCCTGCTACTCATATACTAATTTTTGTCTTCTCACGCATACAATTAAATGCAACAATTTCAATTGAGCAAGTCTTTTGAAGACAGAATTGTAAACATTCTCTGTGCTCTAGAGCTCTGAAAAGGAACAGAAAAAAAATGTATAGCTAACTGTGCCTTTCACCATCCACTTGAAAACAGCCCAAAATGCTAGTTCACAATACTTTGCTCCCTTCCATTTCTTCTTGGAAAATATCTATTTATCCCTCCCCTTGTTTATAAAAGGATGGAGGTGGAAGGCATTTGGAATTAATTTCTCCCAAGAGTTGCAACATGCCTTGTCTTTTCAAGCCCCCAAGTGCTTCCTTCCTGTCTCACACAATGCCCCTTTGTGTTTGTCATGGAGACTTGCCTGCTCCCAGGTGACAACCACCTAGGAACTAATGAAGTCTCCACTGGAACTAACAAAGTGCGACCAACTTGTTTATTATCCAGGATAATTTCATGATAAAACAAAAGCCTCAATAATAGAAGTGGAAAAAATGAAAGCTATAAATTAGAAGCTGTACATATCCTGGTTGTGTTCATACTTAAGCATACACTAAGTTTTATCACTGAAAGAAGAAACCCAAGCAAACCTTTCACTCCTAGACATCCCTCTTCTCTGATTTGCCTGTGAGATCGAAGGCTTTCACTTCTCTTTTTCATTAAGTGTAGTTCAGCATTATAGCAGAGCCCTCATGAAAGCACATGGTATAAACAAAGGTGTTCTCACGATGATATTTCAGTTCAGCAGCTCCACACCACTCAAAAATATGCACACTCCCAAACAAACAAAATACTTTACCATTTCATATCTTTTATTTTCACAAGCCAGTCCTTTTATTTTCACAAGCCATTTTTGCAAAGACCATATTTTGATCAGAGCAGAAGTGAAATATCTGGAAACATTATTACTGCCAAACAACACACTCTCAAGCAGGTGTTTTAAATTTATTATTTATATAATATGATATCTCACCATTCTTCCAACAAGCTAAAAATAGACACAACTCTCCTCCCCATTCTTTTTATATTTATAACAATCCTGGAAGAAAATGACTGGCTCAAGGTCCCTCAATGTGTTTCATAGCTCAGTGGAGATCATGGATCTCGCAAGGGCAAATTCAAGACTCCAATCACTACGCAATATTGTCTCTGAAAAAAAATTACCATGTTTAATTGGCTTAAGAAACATATCTACTATTAATCCAAGTTAGCTCCTCTGCTCAATCACTTAGTAAGAGGCAGAAGCACTTGGGAAAGACAGAAAGGGAGCTGTCCATGGGTCAGACAAAAAAAAACCCCATTATTTGCCCAGCTATGTTTCATGCTTATGGAAAAGATGGGCACAAAAAATGTATTCCTATCTAACATCAGTTGTTAAATGCCAGGTCAGATATCTTCTTTCCCACAAATTTCATTTCCTTGTGTGATAGAAACAAAGAAATAAGCAGAATGTTTAAGCAACATTTAAAAAAAATACTCTTGGACTTTTAAAGGATATTCTGCTCGGGAATTATCACAGGACCAAATAGGTATAACTCAACAACATCCCCAGATAGTTCAATATTCTTCCTATTTCTACAATCCGACGCTGAAGCTCAAAAAAATCCTCAGCCAGTTATCTGGCCTTTTATTAACTCGGGTTGCTGGAAAACTTGCTTTCCAGATACAAATTCACAAGCAGTAGACTTTGCCCCTGCCCCCAATCCATTTGGGAAGACAATACTGCTCAAAGTCTGTTTTCCAGGAGCCTCAATGAATTTTCTTGTTTCTCCCAGTTGCTGTGTTTCTATTGAAGTTGTTTCCTTACATGGAATAGACTATTTCTAGCACGCCTGCTGTGCTTTTCTGGCAAGCATCTCGTAAGAAATGTGGTATTTGATAAAACTGGACAAAGGCTCCCCTTGTACTGCAAATCACAGCACAGTCCCACTGGTGGGCTGCTCTGAAGCATTCTATAGTAATGAGTGCCATGCTTTAGCCTACTAACATTAATCTTCTTTTTCTGTCAGAAGCCTCTGGCAAAGGCTTAGAAAAGCGAGCCAACATATTAAAAAACTTTTCCTAGTTTTCATTAGGATGGAGAAGTCAATCTAGCATTCTTGACATTTTGCATTTAACATCCGGTGGTTTCAGCATTTCTTCTATTTAGCTTAAGTGCTGGAATGACAAATGATGCCAGAAGAAGAGAAAAAACTCTCACCGGAATCCTTCATGGCAATGTGGCATCCAGGTTTTGAATGTGTGTGGAGTCATTTCTGTTGCTAAAGACCTGAAGTCAATGATAATTTTACCATATGTTCTTGCAAGGAGGCTCAGGTTTACATGTTGGGCTGTGTCATTTTCTTACATCTTTGTTTTTTTTTAAGAAAGAATGAAAGAACATTGTGATTTTATAACACACTCAAAGTTTTATGTGCTCAGTATATGTTTTATTCTGTTAATTTTTACTTTCATTTTTTATTTGCTATTGGTATGTGATGTTTTGTTTGCCTTTGAACCATGTTTTCCTTGTTTGTCTTCCTTCCATCACTGTAATTTGTTACATGAAATACTGTAAAATCTCTCTAAGAACAGAACACATGCATGGCGAGGAGGAAGAATTAATGATACATGCTATGTAAATAACAGGTAAGTTTTAAAAAACAGTGGCAGTATAAAAACGAATAACATTTTTTCCCTATGACACTTCAGCTATGTTATTGTTCTGAGTCAATCCATAAAATCTTATTGCAGTACAAATGCAATTCTAAACACAGAACACTGAACATCATATAACAAATGCACAAACTGTGGTTTTGCTACAGGCCTCCACAACACTAATTGAACAGAAAACCAATACATTGAAAAAGAGAACTGCTGTTAAAAGCACTGCTGTTAAAAGCCAGACAGTCTTTATATACAAGAGTGCTGATAACTGTGCTAGATGGGGTTACACACCCCCTGAAGACACAGGTTCGCAGCTTGGGTGTGATCCTGGACTCATCATTGAGCCTAGAACCCCAGGTTTTGGCAGTGGCCAGGGGAGCTTTCACACAATTAAAACTTGTGCATCAGTTGCACACATACCTTGTGAAGTCAGACTTGGCCATGGCGGCCCACACTCTTATTACATTGAGAATAGATTTCTGCAATTCGCTCTATGTGGGGTTGCCTTTTAAGACTGTTTGGAAGCTCCAAGTGGTCCAACGGGTGGCTGCCAGATGCAGCATACAGGGAACATACGACCCCCCCGTTACATCAGCTACACTGGCTGCCAGGCTGCTACCGAGCACAATTCAAAGCCCTAAATGGTTCCAGCACAGCTTACCTGTCCAAACATATCTCCCTCTATGAACCATCTAAGAGGTTAAGATCTTCTGGAGGCCCTGCCTTCAGTCCCACCTCCTTCACAGGTGCGGTTGGTTGGGACAAGAGACAGGGCCTTCTCAGTGGTGGCTTTTGAACTCCCCAGTGAAATTAGATCAGTGCTCTCTCTCTTGGCCTTCAGAAAAAAAGTAAATACATGGTGTTTGAACCAAGCCTTAGGTTAGTAAGCAGTGCAAGAAATGAACAGGAATTGTGTGCAATTGATATTGATATTGGAATGCTCTGGAATTTCGGTTTTTGGATTATGTGATTTTAATGTTTACTGTCTGTGTAAATGGTAAAATGTAGCATTCAAAACAAAGTTATGTTCATCTTTTGTGTACTGCAATTACAGTTGTGTTTGTATTGGCAGGTATTTGAACTCTTGCTAAAGGAAGATTATTTGAAGTATACACTGGAACCTAGGTTGCCCCACTGCAAGTCCAGTGCTATACCCAGCTGACTTCACTCTCACACACTTTTTCTGTAACTGAAACCAAGCATCACTGTACTTCATAAATTTAGATCAGCTTTCCTCCAAACAAACCTCATTTATTGAACTAAAGTGCATTTAATCCAAAAAGTCAATCCTAATTAAATTAGCATGCATTCAACCCTGAGGAGAAGCAGAGATAGAATGACTTAAATTAACCACAGAAATCAATATGCGGCGGCCTCAATAGCCCTTTCCCCAGGGCACTAGATCAATATATCTATTGGCTTGCACTGAGTGCTTTAATTTGACCAAACTTAAATGAAGAATGAAAAATTTTAGTGAACAAGTAAAAGCTCAATGTGTTTTTGTATCTTTAAAGGAAATTGATAGTTTAATGGTGGAGAGCATCTAGGGTTTAGTGCCTCCCCATTTGGCTAGTAAACCTCCTTCTTCTCCCAAAATTCCCATTCTTTTGCCTTGTCACAAGAAACCACTGCTAAGGCATATGCAACAGTTGTTCTAGAAGAGTCCCCTCATTTTTACTCTTGGGAGATGTGAGGGAACAACTCAATTGGACCACTACATCAGGGCACTTGAATCCTATGTGAATTTTGTATCTATATATGGCAGGCATGGGCAACCTTTATAACTTACAGGCTGCATGGTGGGCCAGAGTGGGGTGGGAGGGAGAAAAGGGGCTTTCCCCAAGTCCCCTCCCTGGCCTTTCCTCCCCTTCCTCTTCTCTTTCAGAAAGTGAAGGAAAGATGGGAAACGTTTGGATCCCAAAGGGGTAAGCCTTTGTCAAGATGAAGGTGGACGGGAGAGAAAAATGTATCCATTAAACTGCATATTGCCAACTCCTGATAATATAATCCTAGAATCCTAGAGCTGGAAGAGACCCCCCAACGGCCATCCAGTCCAACCCCCTGC